CCAGGCCTTGCAATGTGGCCCGCACCGCGCTGTCATCACTGCACTCGGCTGCGTTTCCATCACAATGACAGTTTATGACTGTTCAGTAAACCATTCGTCCCGCGATTTAGGCTGGATTTTAGATTTTGGCCCCTTCTCTGATTGAGTTCGACACCCCTAGCCACTGAGCCAAACCGGTTTCGGTGAGATCAGTTTTTAAACGTGGCAGTAAGACCCTTTGTTAAGGTCTCAGTGAGTGCCTAGCACATCCTCTCATTTCACAAAGAGGCTTCTTAGAATCTTAAGTGTGTTGCTCCATAGCAGTCTGACAGGCCCAAGTGAAAAAGAATTATGGGTGTAGTGTTTGGAACATGGAATAAACCCCAACAAGATTCACAGAAAAGCCGCAAAGGGTTTAATTTGGTTGTGCCGATGAAATAACAGCAAGCTTGGAGCAAAGGGGCGGAGATTGTTCAAAACACAAAGAGAACTCTGGACTCCAACTTGCCGTGGGTAAGAAGCAGGACTCAGAAAGCCGTTCAGCTGTAAGACATAGTAGCTTAAAACAACAACTATTTTATCTGCTCCCAATTCGGGAGGTCAGCAATTCAGACAGGGCTCAGCCGGGGTCAAGCATGCAATTGTAGGCATCTGGAGGCTTGACTGCTGCTGGTTAAACTAAAATAGCCTCGCTCAGCCCGCCTGGCTCAGTGGTTGAGCGTTGACCTATGAACCAGGATATCAGAGTTGGATTCCTGGTTGGGGCATATGCCCAGGTGGTAGGCTTGATCCCCAGTGTGGGGTGTGCAGGAGGCAGCCAATCAATGATTCTCTCATCATTGATGTTTCTCTCTCTCTCTCTTTCCCTTCCTCTCTGAAATCAATTAAAATATATATATAAAATTTTTAAAAGTAGCCTCTGTCCACATGTAAGTATAGATGTCGGCTGATCTAGGGAGCTTTCGGTGGGATGGCTCAAGTCTCCTCCTTGTGGCTTTTCACCCAGTAAGTAAGACCTGGCTTCTTACAGTTGAGCACAAAAGCTTCAGGTTCCTGCTGAAACCGGTTTGGCTCAGTGGATAGAGCGTCAGTCTGAGGACTGAAAGGTCCCAGGTTCGATTCTGGTCAAGGGCATGTACCTTGGTTGTGGGCACATCCCCAGAAGGGGGTGTGCAAGAGGCAGCTGGTTGATGTTTCTCTCTCATTGATGTTTCTAGCTCCCTATCCCTCTCTCTTCCTCTCTGTAAAAAATCAATAAAATATATATTTTTTTAAAAGCTTCAGGTTCCTTTGAGCCTTGGGCTCAGTCTATTCTGTCACTCTCCCACTTTTGTTTTAGTCAAAGTAAATCAAGGCCAAACTAGAATCAAGGAGCAGGGAAATAAGCTCCACCTCCCGATGGAAGAGGAAGCAAAGTCACATTGCATAGAGGCATGAGTACCCAGATGTGAGGAACTGAAGCCGTCATCTTTGCATTCTGTAATACACATTCTAGATCCTTCTAAGTGGGAAGTTACGTTCACTCAGAATTCTGAGGCACTGCTTCAGTGTTCGCACGGAGAAGGCCTGTGGTATGGTGACTGTTCACTTTGTGTAACTTTTCTTTTCCCTCTCTCTGCAGGATTTGGAACCTTCTGGTTACTTGCAAAACACTGAAATTTCCTGCTGACATGCCCTAGTGTGAGTTCCTTTTCCTTCATCATGTTGATATTCCATTGGTGTTTTTGACCCAGAGATCCTGTTCTTTGATTTGTGGGGATGTCCTGGGATCATATCTTGGATCATTTCCTCTCCACATTTTTCTCTACTTGCTGAAACTCCTGTTATTTGGATGTTGGACCACTAAACAGATCCTCTAACTTTCTTAACTTTTTCACTCTGGTAAGTTCTTATGATGTTGTTATAATTTCTGAGAAATTTCTTCAACTACATGTTCCTCCTCTTTTACTGAACTTTTAATTTCAGCATTCATGTTTTTCATTTTCAATAGCTTTTTCTTGGTCTCTGATTTGTTAAAAGGCATCTTATTCTTGCTTCCAGCATTTTCCTGATATTTTTAATTACATTTTCCTTTACATTTTTATTTCATTGCACTGTTTCTCAGGTCTTCTTTTCCTCTTTCTTTCAGTTTTGTTCTTTTGTAGGAGAGGTTATCCTCAAATTGTCTGTGGTTCTTGGCCGTTCATTTACATTAAAAGTGGATTGGAAGCTCTAGGATGTAACAGGCACACTGCCTGGTGGGCTTCACTGTAGATGAAGCCAGTGGGCAAACGGCTTTTTCCTTGAGCATCTCTAGGTCTTCTCTCCGTGGTAGTTCCCTTTACCCAGAAATGCTCTTACTAGTGTTGCCCTTGGCCCAAGCAAGAGGGTCCTGCCTTCCGCTTCGTGCTATCAGGGCCTCACTTTGCCCACCCTTCTAAGGGGCCAGGAGCCCATAGGGCCAAGAGTTCATGCCCTCCTGGGACCCACCCTGCTCTCTCTTTAGCGTGTTCTCCAAGCCCTGGGACCACAGAACCCCCTGCCCAAAAGACCTCTATTTCCAAGGCCGGTGTGTGCCTTCCTGGATGACCCTCCTAAGAGCAGACCCTGCTGCACCCCAGGCCTGAGAAGAGGCTAAAGAGTGGCTGTTTTCAGGGGCGTATAGATGGAGTGGAAACAATTAGTTTCCAGCCACAGGTGGGAGACAGAAGGCCAGGACAGCTGAAACCAGTTTGGAGCATCGGGCCTGAGGACTGAAGGGTCCCACGTTTGATTCTGGTCAAGGGCATGTACCTTGGTTACAGGCACATCCCCAGTGCGGGGTGTGCAGGAGGCAGCTGACCAATGTTTCTCTCTCACTGATGTTTCTAACTCTCTATCCCTCTCCATTCCACTCTGTAAAAAAAAATCAATAATATATATATATATATATATATATATATATATATATATATATATATATATATATAATTTTTTTTTTTAAAGACCAGGACAGGTCTTCGTGTGGCTGTTTATTTTAGAAAGTGAACAAAATGTGGTTTATTCTGAAAACTGAAAGAAAAAAAAGAAGGGGAAAAAAAGCAGGAATAAGAAAGGAGAGCAACAAGAAAACCTGGCAAAAGTGGATTCGTTGCAAAAAGAACAAAGCTTAGGGTGAGGGCCTCTCACTTGCACAGACCTCTTCCAAAGCCCTTTCTTTTCCCAGCCAGGTAAAATTTCCTTTTTGTTCCTAATTTTTATTTTGTATTATTTTCCTTAAAGATGATTTTAAAATTGCATAAGCTTCACAGCCACAAAACCTGGATCTGCATTTAAGACCAGGAACTATATTTTACGACTTTATATAGAGAAAGAGAGATAATGAGACAGAGATACATACCTGGAAAAAACAGCTGATTCAAAGCAGCATAGGTTTCTTGAAAATCCTAAGAAAAAATAGGGGCCCCCAAAAGAATGGTTGATGGGATGTAAGTTGAAAGTTATTCTGACCAAGAAGTGACTCAGGAACTAACTTTTAAAGGACACCAACATCAGTAATGACAATTGCTCAGAGTTGGTCTGTTGGGGAAGCCAGGCAAGAGATGTGCCCTAATACTGGCCACCCTTTTGATTTGCTGACCAATATGAGCCCGTTTTTTTGAACAAAAGCTGCACTTACCTAATGCTGACACCAGGTGGCAGACGTGGCTTGCTCAAGCATGATTTTGCCACACTGCTAAAACTCAACATGTCTTTTAATTCTCAAGTGCCTCCTCTCACTGACCACAAAGCCCCCACGAGTCAGAGGCCTTACATGGAGTCCTGCGTGCCAACGACAGTGGGAGCACAAGGCTGCCGCCCAGCACCCAGAGAACAGAGCCACACCCCACCCTCCACAGCTCCACATGCCAGGAACGGCACAGCTCCTACAAATCAGATAAGGAAACAAACACCTCCTGATTCCCAGGGCTCTGATTAGTTCAGACACAGCAGGCTTGGCAAGACCGGGGGCAGAGAAATGTGGGGACACCGGCCTTCGGAAGAGGCTGTGGGCCTTGGGGGCAGGTAGAAAGGGCTGAAGTCCTGGCCAATGACGTGGGGTTCTCTCAGGGACTCCATGCCTCCAGCAGAGAGGATGTGGGTGTGTACAGTCTCACTCGATGTTGCTCCGGATGACAGGGAAGACCCATGCCCAGAAGTCACCGGGAGGCAGATAACAAGCTCAATACAGGGAGGACATTGTGAGCAACTGGATGGGACAGGTAACCTCATTACCCGTTCAGCTGGAGCTCTGGTCACAGTGTACAGACAGACTCCCTCACCTCCAGAGTTCCTCTTGTCTGGGGTCTGAAGACTCTGGGGTCAGTGGACCAACACCGTCCAGTGGCTTGCAGAGGGGAACACAATTGCTCAAACAGCACCGCCCTCAATGAGTGTGACTTCAGGCTCGAGGAGTCCTTGGTGCAGCAACTCACAGTGGGAGAGGGACGGTGGGCAGGGATAGGAAGCGAGAGGAAGGGGGCAATGGCCTGTGCCTTTGCTCAACACATGGATACCCTGGCCAAACCTCTGCTAAGGATCAGGGCCACAAGGCACACTTGGGAGCCCTGAGCATAGACCCACCTCCTCTGTGCACATGGAAGGGGGGGTGGGGGCATATTCTCACTCCCTCAAATTTAGACTACCTTCCCACACACAAGGGGACTGAAGAGCACCTAAAGATTCTTTCTGAAGACAAAGTCACAGTGTGGGGAAATGGCAAAACGAAGGAGGTTAAATATTCCCAGTGAGCATCTCACTAACGAAGCTCAGCTCATTAAAGCGCATACTTTCACTACCATCGGCGGGTGCAGCATTTCTGCCAAATTTGCCCTTGGAGAGCACAGGGGCCTCGAAACTGCCCTCCTGAGTAGGCCGGGCCAGTGCACAGGGGGAGAGTAAGAAGTGAGAGGAAGGGGGAAGCCAGAGAGAACGCTATCCACCTCCAAGAGGAAAAGCACTCTCCTCATTGGAAAGACCAGGTTCTGCTGAGCCACGTGATGATCTTAGTAAAAGGAAAGATGGTTGTAAAAGAGAAATTTTAATTTAAGCTGGGGGCTGGGGGTGGGGAGGGGAAATCTTAGGAGACAACATCATGATGTTTCTCAGGAGCAGGTAAATCGTGGCATTCTGCATTTTCTTTCAGCACAGGGATCACCTGAGATCCCACAGACAGGAGACAGGGAGAAGAAGAATCCAAAGACGTGTGCATCAGGTACACTCCGAAGTTCACCTGGGGACAGAGCAGCGGCAACGAGATGATTTTAGCAGCTGAAAACACTGGGTAAATAATGTGCAGCTGAAATTAAGTCACATCATTAAAGACATCCTGGGAAACCAGGGGAATCCTCATGGCAGACACCAAAGGCCCTCCTTCTAAAGGGTCCTTTCCCAAGTCACCCCATATTCTTTTTTAAATATATATATATATATATATATATATATATATATATATATATATAATTTATTTTTTTACAGAGAGGAAGAGAGGGGGATAGAGAGTTAGAAACATCGATGAGAGAGAATCATTGATCAGCTGCCTCCTGCACACCCCGCACTGGGGATGTGCCCACAACCAAGGTACATGCCCTTGACTGGAATCAAACCTGGGACCTTACAGTCCACAGGCTGACACTCTATCCACTGAGCCACACCAATTTCAGCCCATATTCTTCATGGCTGGGCCCATTCTGTTTCCTCCTTCCTGCCCAAAATGCCTTTCCCATGAGAATGTGTGATGCCAGTGAAATTCTCCAACTTGTCCAGAATAAAGATGAAAGGTCCAAAATGCAGTCTGATCGAGGCCTGCTGTCCACACCGGTGAGTCAATAAGAACCCTTTGGTGCAGGCGGCGTGCCCCCAGACCTGCTCATTCCTGTGATAACCTCAGTCGGCCACCTGCTCCCCATGTTCCAGTCCCCGGACGAGGGGCTGGGACAAATGAATTTCTTAAGGTTCGTGCACATGTGGGCGAAGAGTTCACAGGAACTCTATGCATTATCTTTGTAATTTTTCTGTAAATCTAAAACATATTCCAAATATTAAAAAATAAAAGATTTGTGCACATGAGAATTCTATGCCCTGATGCATCGTAGTGTTTGTGCCCACCCATCTCCTGGCAACACGGGGCAGGCTCAGGGCCCCTGTGCCCCTCGTTGAGACAGCAGCCTCAGCTGAGCAGACAGACCTGCTGGTATAACGCTCACGTGCAACCTCTCTGAAAACCGTTTCCACCCCGTGTCTGGAGGGAGATCGTGTCAATCAAATACGGTGAGACCAAACCCTGGTCTTGGAGAGACTCAGGGAGCAGGGCAGAACATTCTACCCTGACTTAACCTGCCAACGTGTGACTGGAGGGGATTCAACATTTGCATTGTTCCAGTTAATTTTCAAGAACTGCTCTGCGCAGCCTCACAGCTGTCTTGACTTCCTGGAATTCTTTGCAACCAAAAGGTTCTAATAGTGGAAATAAATAAGTTTAGCTTTTATAATCTGGGCCTCACACCAACAGCACTCGGTCATTTTCACCCTCATGAAGATGACTTACAAGCTTAGTACACTGAAATGTATCGACTGTTTCTATGCAGCTACTCTGTGCACCAGAAGTCATTTTACTCTGCATAAGAACTCTGCAGTGAATAAATAAATAAATAAATAAATACATAAAAATAAAAACTAAAAAAAGAACTCTGCAGTGGAGAAAAGAATAATTTAAAAATAAAATTACTCCACTTTTACTTATACTCCACATCTCTTCAACATGATTTGAGGGTATTAAAGATACACACAATGAGAGCCCCATACAAGGGAAGATACAGACAGAAAGAGAAGATAGGATGGTGCCACAGATGATGTCAGAACCTTAATGGTAGCCCACCAGCCTCTGAATGTTTTCTGCTTCTAAAAATTACTCCGCACTACGAGGGAGATAGTTCTGGAGTAGATAACACACCGGGATCTTAAAATGGGGTGCCATGCTTCGCAACCCTTCTTACCTTTCTTTCTCGGCTCTCCGAAAGCTTTTGGAAAACATCTTGGTTTCGTTGCCCGGTTTGCTGGTCGATGCAGATCATCTGGCACCTGTGACAGGGCCCCGACACCTGGGAGGCGAGGACAGACGAGACAGGGTGGTCGTGAAAGTGACCAGACCCCCGACTCCGCAGGGATGACTCTGGATCCAGAGGATTCGGGCTGACAAAGGCCGTCCCCGGGCCAATGTCAGACTCACAGAGAGATGCTGGATAGTCTACTCCTAACTGTGAGGAGCCAGAAAGCGGCACCCTTTCCTAGTGCCCCTGGGGAGTCAATCCGCAGTTGTGTCTCAGCTGGAAGGTTGCTGCTTCGGGGCTTTGCAGAGAAACAAGAGCGGTTGTGAATCTCTCTTGGGTGGTTACCAGGGAATGCTGAAGACACCTCCGGCAGAAAAAAACCAACTGAGGGAGGACTAACCGGGGAAATGAACAGCCACAGACCCAGCCCTGAGTCTCTGAAAGAACCCAGCAATTTCACTACCAGGGATTCAACACAAAAAAAAAGGAATCCGAAGTATAAGCACAGATTCTTATCCAAGGATATTTCTCACATTGGTTATCGTAGGGGAAATATGGCAGTAGAGGAGAATGGTTAAGCCAACCACACCACAAACATGACATATATCATGCAGGGTTTTTTGGTGTATGTGTGTGTTTTAAATATGTTGTTATTGATTTTTTTTTTTTTTTAGAGAGAGAGAGGAAGGCAGAGGGAGAGTCAGAAACATAGATCAGCTGCCTCCTGCATGCCTGCTACTGGGGATTGAGCCTGTAACCCAGGCATGACCAGGAATCAAATCAGTGACCTCTTGGGGCATGGGACAGTGCTCAATCCACTGGGCCACACTGGCTGGGCTTATACGGTTTTTAAAATTAACCTATAAAGGGCTTTAAATAAAATAGGAAATGTTTATTTTTACAACTGAAGTAAGCAGGAAACAAAATTACATGTGTATTCTTGTATGCATGTGTACTTTATATATGTACATATGTGCACATACACACACTCCATAAAACACACTACACAGCCTCTTACCAGGGGTCATACTTCTATTCTGGATGGTCCACCATGAGCACGAATTGCTTTTATAGAAAGAAAAATACCCCATAAATGTGAACGTTAAAAAAAAGAAAGAATGCAGGTTAACAGTGGCAAGATGCTCTTTCATTCCACACAGAAAAGGCACCAAGGTGCCTGGCCGGTATGATTCAGTTGGTTGAACATCGTCCCATGAACCAGGAGGTTGCTGGTTTGATTCCCAGTCAGGGCACATGCCTGGGTTGTGGGCTTGATCCCCAGTAGGGGGCGTGCAGAAGGCAGCCGATTGCTATTTCTCTCTCATTGATGTTCCTCTCTCTCTCTCCCTCTCAAAATCAATAAAAAAGAAAAGGAAAGTATGAAGCACACGTGGGCAAGCACAAAGTGATCACTGAAATGAGAAATACTCCGCTAACTCTGGGTATGCTCCGGCCTCTCCCTAGCACTCCAATTCTGGCTGCTGGGCATGAAGCCAGAGGAAACACCACCTCACTGTGGTACCAATGTCAAGACACCAAGCCTCACAAGCAGCTGGCAGGCGAGCCAAGAAGGAGTTCTGCCCGGTATTTGCCTTGGGGCGCTTGCAGACCATGACTTTGCCAGGCTTCATTCCCCACCCAGCTCCCTAGCTGGACTTGATAAGGAGTCCAGACATTATTTCCGAGAAGCCGAGCACAGGCCTGGTACTCCATCGTGCTCAGACGTGGACACTGTCATGACGATAACATGAGAAGCCCCGAGATAACTTCATACAACCGGCTGCTAACACAGCTGTTATTAACGGGACCTCAGGCCTCACTGGAGAACCAGCACATGGAGGGTGGATGACCCAGCCTCTGCCCCTCGTTGTTCCTCACCTTTCCTGACCATTCAGCACCTCCACAATCACTGAGCACTGACTCATTCAGCACCTCCACAATCACTGAGCACTGACTCATTCAGTACCTCACTGAGCACTGACTCATTCAACACCTCCACAATCACTGAGCACTGACTCATTCAGTACCTCACTGAGCACTGACTCATTCAACACCTCCACAATCACTGAGCACTGACTCATTCAGTACCTCACTGAGCACTGACTCATTCAGCACCTCCACAATCACTGAGCACTGACTCATTCAGCACCTCCACAATCACTGAGCACTGACTCATTCAGCACCTCCACAATCACTGAGCACTGACTCATTCAGTACCTCACTGAGCACTGACTCATTCAGTACCTCACTGAGCACTGACTCATCCAACACCTCCACAATCACTGAGCACTGACTCATTCAGCACCTCCACAATCACTGAGCACTGACTCATTCAGTACCTCACTGAGCACTGACTCATTCAGCACCTCCACAATCACTGACTCGGGCCAGGGTTCTAGGCCCTAGCCGTATGGTAGGGAACAACACAGATGTGGTCCCAGGCTTGTGTGCTCTGAAGGAATCAGTGGGCGCTGTGCAGAGTTGGCCACGTGGTGGGTCAGGAACACCCTTTGCAGGAGGGAACTTCTGAGCTGAGACCCTGCAGTCGCTGCTGAGAGAACGCGTCAGGCAGGAGGACCGCCTGGACGAAGGCCCTGAGGGAGGCAGGGAGGTTGCTTGTTCGGGGAGTGGAGAGAAGGTGGGGATGACAGGCAGAGGGCGGGCTGATGAGCTGGAAAGGCTGGTGGCGAGTTAGGAGGGAATGGTTTAGGTCTGGGGGATAGTGGGGGGCACCTTATGCTCCCGGAGCCTAGGGAGAAGGGGCATCCGGTAGCTTTGCCTCTGACTGCGAGCTCCTCCCTGCAAGGCGAGAAGCTGGAGCGCGGGGAGAAGGCGCAGTAGCCATTGCACGGATGGCCCACCAGCCATCGGAGGGCCTCCTCCACGAGCTTCAGACAGCCAAAGCCCACCGAGTTCAGCAGGACGAGCTTCTCAGAGTCACAGTATCCTAAGAATTTAAGCCTAGACATAATGACGGCGGGGCGGGGGGTGGGGGATGGGGGAGAGGCTCGCACTGAGCTCTCCATCCCCTGCATGGGGCACATTCTCTCTCGCCCCGGTGGGGAGAAAGGGTGGTCATTCCAACAGATGTCACCCACCCTCCTGCCGAGGGCTTCCCACCTGCCACCATCCCTGCCTCGGATTCCGACTCCCTGAGCAGCCCGTAAGGAAGGATGACAGGACTTCCCAGAACTCACCTGGAAATGCAAGGAACCCACTGAAATCGCCTCCCATTTCTCTTCTTCAAAAGCACTTGCTCCGCTGGTGATAATATTGGCACGGAAACGTGAGATGAGATCTCTCATCGGGAATGATTCCTCCCTTCCATTCTCATCACTATGGAAGACAGGCCAAAAAGGGAGAGGGGTGAGTGTGTGGAATTTTAGGGTGTTGTAGCAACTTAGTGATTCTACCACTCAAAACCCGACTTCATCACCTGTGCTCTGGCCTGAGGCCTGGATGACCAGAACACGCTTTTCCCATGAGGCCCAGCGGCCCCGACGTGGTAGATCTCAGTGGTCTCCCAGGGGATATGATCCACGTCGGGGAGAGGCCCACAAGGTGTGGTGCAAAGGGGGAGCAGATCTTTGTGTCAGACATGGAGGATTTTGGAAACCAGGTGAACAGAGGTTGAGTAAACGAACTGAGAAAATACCAGTTCTGCAAGGCGAGTTAGGGTATGGCCTTGAAAGAGTGTCAAGCTTACTTACCAAGACATCACACTCTCTGGCAATACTAAAACATCGTAAAGCAGCGTGGTTGATATTTATTTTCTGACTCCCTTCTGTTTGCAATTAGCTAGCATAGGCTACTTTTCTAATTCTCGTGCAAAGGTTTTGTTTACTGCCAGGAGGCCCCGTAAAATGGCTCCCTGCACCTCCCCACACTCCTCCCCCAAGGCAGAAAGCACTCAAACAGCGTCTGAAAGCTTGACAAGCAAGCGCACTGCTGTATGCCATCGTGTGGAGTTTAAGAACAGGAAAGTCCGGACACCGGTGGCCTTCAGTGGGGCTGGCTGAGAGGGGGAGAGGCAGCTTTCTGAGGCACTAGAAATGCTCTCCATTGACCTGGGGTGTTTCTACGGTATGCCCATCAGTAAAGCTCACTGAGCTGTGGAACTTAAGGATTTTGCACTTGGTTGTACTTCAACAAAAATATTTTTTAAATTAAGTTGGGAGAAACCCTTGAGTACGACGGGAGTTTTCCCTGAAGATGGGATTGAAAGGCTCTGGGGGAGGAAGGGGCCCACGGCTGTGTCCCAGTCCCCTTCCAACAGTGAGGGGGTGGGGAATGTTGGGAGCAGTGGGCAAGTCTAGCTTTGCTCCCAACCAAACAGCTCCCATGTGGACCTAGGAGGACCTCAGTGTTCTCATCCACAATGAGAGGGTTAGCACTTGCCCATCCTAAAATCCTTTTATTGTGTATTTGCCCTCATGGCTATAAACCTTCCTTCTGTGCTTCATAAAAGGGGAAGTGTCATGTCCGAAAGCTGCCCTGTCCACATGGACATGGCAGCAGCCAGAGACACATCAGCCCTGGGACTGCTCCTCTTACCTCTGCTCACCTGACCCATCCCCACTCCCACCCCCGTACCCCCCTCCCTCCCCCTCCCCGTCCCCAGGCACTAAACCAGCTGGTTGGGAACGTGGTTCCCTCCTGGTGGGAATCGGGCCTATCTCCCCTCCTACCTTTCTATACCCAGAACCCCAGGAAACCGCGGACCTGCTTCCCCCAGCGCACTGGGGACCTGGAGAGGAGGGCCACTCAGTGGAGCTACAACTCGGTGAACAACAAGTACCAGCCGTGCCCCACGTCTGCTCCCATGAGGGTGAGGGAGGCCACGGCAAGGGAACAGTGTGGTATGATTTTGCCAATGACTATCCTTCTCACAGTCTAGCTCTGTTGCAGTTACTACGCTGTACTTGTGCATTTCTGCAAGCGTGCACGCAGATGCCCGGGGGCATGTGGCACGTGGGAGGCACAGGAGTGCCGGCTCAGGTGCTGACAGGCGTGTGCACACCTCTCTCTGTCCCATGGACTAGGAAGGAGCAGCCCAGCTCTCTCACCACAGTGATTTCCCCCTAATTGTCTGATCACCTTGGATGGACAACAATTTCCTCTAGACAACAAGGGGGCTTGGACCAACCGAGACCCCTTGTAGAGCTGCTGACCTCTCACTGCTGCCAGGGCCCTTGGGAGAGCACCGGGCAGGTATGGACAGGCAGGGGTGCCGGTTCTGTCTGGTGGTACCAACAAGTCACACCTACAATCACAACTGTGAATGCTTCCTAACCACTTCTCTTCCCTCAGGAGGACTGCGGACATAGAGCAAGGCTCCTTGGGTACAGAGACAGTGGGAGGGTGGGCAATGAAATTAGATCAAGTTGGTAGAAATTCCATGATAGCAAATGATAAGGCATGGAATTTCTAGAAAAATGAGGCTTGGGCCAAAACTGGTTTGGCTCAGTGGATAGAGCATTGGGCTGTGGACTGAAAGGTCCCAGGTTCGATTCCAGTCAAGGGCATGTACTTGGTTGCAGACACATCCCCAGTAGGGGGTGTGCAGGAGGCAGCTGATGGATGATTCTCTCTCACTGATGTTTCTAACTCTCTACCCCTCTCTCTTTCTCTCTGTAAAAAGTCAATAAAATATATTTTAAATTAATAATAATAATAAAATAAATTAATGCATAATGCATTTTAAAAAATGAGACTTGGGGTTCTCTACTAAGCATTTTGAGGGCATCAAGAAGGACATTGGGAGGCAAAAGAGAATGATTTTAGGACCTGCACAGGTGAACCTACTTATTGATATATATTGGTCCTATATTGGAAGACAAATGACAAAACGATTCCTGAGGACTTCCCTAAGGGCTTGTGATTTCTCTGGTCTCATGAAGAGTCTGGGCTCCAGGACTGACTCTGGGGACTCTCTCCCCAGGTAGGTGCCAGGCTACCTGCAGGGCAAGTGGTTACACCTCGATGTTACTCCCAAAGTAAACAGCAAGTAGTAAGAGGATCTTTCTTACCTGGCACTTAATTGCCGCTGAAGTTCCAAAACACTGGATCTGTTTACCAGCAGATACTGGGCCTCATTCACCAGAGAAAGAGTGGCCTGAGTGCCAGCAGACTGCCCTGGAGGGATGGAGTGGGTATTTAGAAGAAGAGATCTGGAAACAGCCTTAGAGTCCACAGTGGACGACTGGGTAAAGAAGGTGTGGTACATGTAGACTACACCATGGAATATGGGTCAGCCATAAATAGAAGGAAATCTTGCCCCTTGTGATGCGTGGATGGGCCTGGAGGGCATTGTGTTAAGCGAACTAAGTCAGACTGAGAAAGACACATACCATATGGACTCACACACATGTGGAATCTAAAGAACAAAAGCTAAAACTATCTCCCAGATACAGAAAACAAACTGGTGGTTGCCCGAGGCAAAGGGTGGAGGTAAGCAAAATCTGTGAGAAAGGAAGGGGAGGGGGGTCAAAAGAGACAAATGTTCAGTTATAAAATAAATAAATCCTGGGATGTAATATGCAGCGTGGTGACTAGAGTTAATAATACTGTATTGCATAGTTGAAATTGCTAGAAGGGTAAATCTTTAAAATTCTCATTACAAGAAAAAACATTTTGTAACCGGGTGTGGTGATGGATGTTAACTAGGCTAACTGTGGCGATTACGTCACGATATATACAAATATTGGATCCAGATAAGTAGTTGAGTACACCTGAAACTAACCTGTTATATGTCAATTATACCTCAATTAAAGAATGTTAATGAAATTAAGTTTTTAATTTTTAAAGTAAAATAAAAGAAGAACTGCTTTCTTGGGCTGCAAATGAGTCATGCTCTATTGACCGCCATGTTTTAAAAGTAGAGACTATACCTACACGTGAAAAAGTGGTGCCCTTGAACTAGTACCAACTGTCTTAAATTGGCTCAAACCTCTCAAAAACAAAAAGAAAATGAGCTGGTAGAATACTCCACTACTTATATGAGAATAATAATAATAATAATAATAATAATAAAATGCTGCGGTGAAACTTGCAGCACTGACTTGGAGGCGACATTCCGAGGAGGAGAGATGGGCCTCGGGGGGAGCAGGGCTGGCCCGGACAGCAGGGGAACCAGGGCCTTCATGCGTACACAGGCCCAAGGAGCTCTCCTGAATTAGGGAAAGGCTGGTTTTTGCCCTTGGGAGAGTGTGAAATAATCGACTTCAGAAATAGATAATACAAGTTTAAAACTGCGGAAAGGGAAAGTAAAAGAGTGAAAGGAAGTATGAAATGTGCCCAGCACTGCTGGCAGCCCAAGCCCAGCTTCCACCTCCCATGGGGGGCCCGCCATCGCTGTCTTTATCCAAGATGCTGATGGAAAGGGTTGGCTGGGCCAAAGCCTGGTGAGCTTCCTGCATAACCGGGCCTGAGGACCCCGTTATACATGAGAAAGGACACTTCTAAGAGAGCCACCTTCCAGACCCTCCACTTCCAACGGCCCCCTTTGCTGCAAAGGCGCTGTCAGAGAAGGGGCACACCCCAGCCCCTCCACAAAAGGCCTTTCTCCCCTGCACAGAGGGCAGGCCACCCCGCCTGCGGGCACCCTGCCCCTGGGGGCCAGCAGTCTCCATGGCGGAAGACAAAAGCCCATTCAAAGCCCGCCTGTAGGTCAGATGGGCTGCCATTCTTGGCTCTCCACAAAGCTGTCACACCTGATTAAGTTGTCAAGTGACATGATTAAAGTCATCTCAGTGTGAGATCCCTGTGTCTCAGAAAAAGGGTTGAGTGACAGTAGGTCAACCAAGCGCCTTTCATCCCCAGCTCTTTATTCACTCAGATAAGGCTTTTCAGAAGAGAACGGCTGAACGCCAGCTCTGCTAGTCACAGGTGGCAGTTATTCATGAAAATGGGAGTCAATGGCGGGCAGCCCAGCCATCTCATCAAGAATTTGTTTTCAACTGTGTTTTCACTATCTTTGGAAATGTATAATACGTAAGTTGTTGCTTTGATCAACTGTATACTATTAGAAAATTGTGATAATTTAACCTATAAGAAATTTCCTAACACTTGGACTCTTATGATCACAGGAAACTCTACAAATGTTTATACATTCCAATCTATATAGCATCTTAATTTTAGTAAATATGATAGGTTGATCAAGGAAAGAGTTTCAAGCATAAAATATATAACACTGAGATACAACCCCATTAAAGAAGTAGAATGGAAATATAAGTTGAAGAAGAAAAAGGAAAGATATAAAATTTCTGACCATTAAAAGACAATTTGTATATATATATATTTTTTTTTTTGAATGTTCATGGAATCAAATCACTGTAGTATTGAGATTTTACTCACTAATGTTTAAAAGGATGACCTACGAGTTTTCATTTGAATGACCACACTTATAATTTGCTAGAAATAGCTCAGACCTCTACCCCCTGGCCCAGGCAGCTGAGTCCTCAGCCCCGTGAGAGCCCAGCAGGGTGGGGTAACAGGAAGTTCAGCAGGTGGGGCTGCTGCATGCCCCCAGGTTGACTTCAAGGAGAGGAGTGCTCCACCCAAGAAAGATGACACCTGTGGTGTCAGAGCGAGACACAGCCCAAGGATCCTGGCTGTCCCTTCAGCTCTCTCCCCAGAGCCACAAATCTCTCCTCACAAGACTGACTCTGCTCTGTACTCCCTCTGCCAGAGCCCAGGGTGAGTGGTTGCTGCCAAATTTGTGAGTGCTGGCTCTCTAAGAGGGCACCTGTGTCTCTAGCAGACTTCTGTCTTTCCTCAGAGGACAGAATCCCAGCTGCTTTTCACAGCCAGATGTCACACGGTGCCTCTTCCTGGCGCTGGTGCTCTGGGCTAGGAAGCCCCACATGTGGTTGAGACCCCAGGCTTCTCGGGGGAACCTCTGCAGCTTAGACATCCCTCCGGAATCTCAGCCACCAACCCTGGTGCTCACGGGACCAGCCCTTTCCGAGTCTAAATCCTTCCCACTAGTCTCCTGTGGCTTCTTCTGTAAATCCTTGGTTATATGACTTCTGATCAGCTAGTGTTCAGTTGGTTATCCAGACTGTTTTATAATTTAGTTGTCATTCCAGTTTGGTCCTGAGAGGAGGTACCTTCCATCTCTTCTGCAGCCAGTTTGGATTCTCCTTTAAACTCGTTTTTAAAATTTAGATGACAATGGAAAAATGTAGGAGGAGGTAATGTAGCTTTAAAAAAAATTCTTCTAAGGTGTACCAATGCAAAAATGTCTGAAGATCTGAGACCTGGACCGTCAGAGATTTCGCCTCCATAAATGGCATCCCTAAAGTGGAAACAGTCACCGGCTGGCACTCCCTGGTCCTGACTGCCCCGTGCAGGACACAGCGTTCTCCCTGTGCCCACCTCTGCCCCAGCCAGGCCCCCTGTCCCACCAGGACAGTGACAGCCCATCTCCTGCCCATCCCCTTCCTTCCTCTCCCTCTCCAGTGCCCCCTCCATACCTTGCCAGGAGTGTCTTTCTAATACACACAGCATCACAAAACTCCAGAGCTTCAAAATCTTCAGTGAGTGCCCACAACCACAAGCTAGCACGTCCTGACTCCTCAGCTGCACACTGAGCTGCTTGAAAATGGCCCGTTCCTCCCCTGAGGTGCTGCTAACACTCAAAGCACTTTCTTCTCCGCTGCCTCACTTCATCCTAACGGCAGCTTTTGGCAGGAAAACTGACAATCCTGTTGGAGACTAAGTAGCTGAGATCAGCAGAAGTGGAGGCCCCAAGGAGTTGCTAAGGTCTCATGCCATGTGGAGATGGAGCCAAGGCCAAAACTCCGGGTCTTCTGAGGACTCGGCAAGCTACCAATGTTTTCATTTAACAAAACGGAAGTTTGGCCGAAACCGGTGCGGCTCAGTGAATAGAGCGTCAGCCTGCAGACTGAAGGGTCCCAGGTTCGATTCCGGTCAAGGGCATGTACCTTGGTTGCGAGCACATCCCCAGTGGGGGGAGGTGCAGGAGGCAGCTGATCGATGTTTCTCTCTCATCAATGTTTCTAACTCTCTATCTCTCTCCCTTCCTCTCTGTAAAAAAGCGATAAAATATATATATTTAAAAACAACACAGAAGTGTGCTTCCAAATGTGCATGGCTGAGGCAGAGGGCTGAGCAGAGGCCAAGCAATGGTCTGGGACCCCACCCCGGCCTATCGGGCTTCTCAGGAGCTACACCTGGGTCCTGCTGACCTGGGGCCACAGGGTCCTCTCTGCCGGAGGCAGGCCGCCCCACTGTCTGTACGTGAGCAAGCTGCCCTGTGACTCCGCGTCACGGGCTGACCTGGGCGCATGCAAAGGTAAGCCTGAGTCCCTGTGCCCTGAGAACAACCCCGAACGCCATACCTTTGCCGCGGCTCTTCTTCGCGTTTCGTTGAAAGTCCGAACTTTGTTTGATCAAGTGACACGAGCGGCCCAGAAACCTTGACAACCAGCTTGAAATTTTTTCTCCACAATCATAAGTTTTTACCCTGACCAAAAAAATAAATAAAAGAAATGGTAAATGTTATTTCGTATTATTTAGTAACAATTTAAATGGCAAAATAATATAATATCCTATATAATAAAAAGGCTAATATGCAAATAAACCAAATGGCAGAATGACCGGTCATGATGACGTGCACTGACCACCAGGGGGCAGTCACTCAACGCAGGAGCTGCCCCCTGGTGATCAGTGAACTCCCACAGGGGGAGCACTGCTCAGCCAGAAGCAGGGGTCACTGAAGGCAAGCACAGTGGCAGTGGCTTCCAAACTGTGAAAGGGTACAGGCTGGGCTGAGGGGGACCCTGCCAAGTGCATGAATTTCGTGCACCGAGCCTCTATTTGTATAATAATCATTGAGCCCCAGCCAGAAGGAAGCCTAGAGTGGCAGGCGTTCTTAGGAACCTGCAGGGAGCTTTCCAAGGCACAGCAAGACCTGAGACCTGGGCTTGTGCAGAGCTTTAAGATCAGATAAAAGAGTTTAGAGGTTCCTCTTGAAAAACCTACTTTAAGTTATAGCCACTGAGAAAACAACCTTAGAATCTCGGACTTTCCAGAGCATTACCTTGCTCTAAGAAGCCCTCGCACCCAGACATGTGTCTTGGTGTTTTCCGATGGGCCTGACTATAGTCTTTCCCCTCACAGCCATCCCTCATGGGCTGACATGTTGGCTTGTGAAAGAACACCACTGGGCCTATAAATCACCAATGTAAGTACATTTATTGATCTTTAAAAAAAAAAAAAAAAAAAAAAAAAAAAAAAAAAAAACAACTCTGCAATCTTCTAGAATTTTTAAATAGAATTCCAAATTTAAACGTTTTCTAATCTGCACATCACCAGAATTGATAAGGAAGAATTGCTAACATCTTACCCTGGGACTATAAGACCGCTATTATTGAAAACCTATCTCATCCTTAATTTTCACTCAGAAGAATGGTTGCCTTTCTTTTCTAGAAAGGGGAGAGAAGAAGGAAACCTCACCTTGTAGCACCTTCTCTCTGGTGCTTTGAGCGATTGCACTAATTCCATTTTCATTCTATTAAGTTCTCACAGTTCCTAGCTTAACCTCTATGGGCCTAAAAGCTTTATTACCCAGAAAAATGGAATCCCCCTTCAGACGCAGCTCAATGAAAGGCAAAACCAGGGACGAGCTGGTGAAGTGACTACAGCTGCTCCTAAATGGCTGTCTCTCTCTCTCTCTCTCTCTCTCTCTCTCTCTCTCTCTCTCTCTCTCTCTCTCCCTCCCTCCCTCCCTCCCTCCCTGAGATTTACAGCGGTGACGGGCAAAAATGCCTACCCGAGACTCGGTGCCCTCAGTTGTGTGTTCCGGTGAACATTTCCTGGCACAGCACGGTGGAAGGATGCCCACTGTGCTGGCTCTCAGCTCCAGGATGGCCCCGTGCCCATGGCGCTGAGCTGTGCCCAGCAGGATCATCACACTGCACCTGCACCTGCATACCTTTCCTGAAGTGCAGCCCTTCATCACCCAGGGGCCCTACACCTGTGAGCCCAATTCAGATACAGCTTTATTATTCCACAGGTCATTCCATGAGGCAGAGCAGAAGTAAATGCAGTCAATGCCACGCCGGGCAGTATCACCATCGCCATCGACTGAGCACAAACACCCATGAATGAGCTTATTGTGTCAAATAATAGACAATTAGCAGTTTAAAAGCCTTCTCTAAATAAATCCTAGTACACTGCTCCAGTTAACTGTTTTAGTATTGGGGAGTAAATTGGTGGGGTATCAGATGGACTAAGTAGGTTTCCACAATCAGAAAATTTGCTCCTGCACATGTTTTGGGGCCCATGTTAGACTTGATAGTCAATATATTCAATAAATAGATCTATAAACATTCATAATAAGAAATAAAATAGAAATGCTCTTATTGCATTCCACTATCCACATTTCCTAGAATTTAGCCAATGATTTTTCATCAGTAACTCAGATTAGGCCATCATCCACAACTGTATGAAGTGTAATTGATGGGTTATCACCTGAAAAATTATACAACCTGAGAGACATGACATACCCTCAGGCTCCACATCCAATCCATCAGTTGGGCCAGGTGGTCTACCTCCAGGATAGATACTTGACACCCACCTGGTTTCCTGACCCTTCGCCTTGTCTCAGCTGGCCTTCTCACTTGCACCCTCACCAGCTTCCAACTATTCTATGCCCATAGCCAGTCTTTTCAAAATACAAATCAGGTCCCTACCCTCACCGCTCTACAGTAGCCACCCCACCCAAGCCCCTCCATGCCTCCTCTGAACGGTTCCTGGCTCACTATGCCTCCCCCACAGCCTGTTTCAGGTTGTGCAGGAAGCAGCAAAGCCTGAGCCCCAATTGGCATTAGCGGCATTAGCAGGAGGGACTAAAGACAAAGGTTGGGTAACAGTCCATGCTAAGGAGAAGAATGCAGCCGGACAAGCAGCGAGGGAGGGCTGACTCTGTGGGAGGCCAGGTGCCTCTCTGAGAGAAGGGCTTTTCAGCAGAGACCCGGGGGCAGTGAGACTGAGGGAGCTGAGGGAGTGAGCCCCCTGGAGGTATATTAGGGGAAGAGCATTCCAAGCAGAGGAAACAGGAGGGCAAAGCCCTGAGAGGGAGCCAGGGCAGTGAGCAGAGTGCGGAGTGCGCCATGGGGAGTGGCAGATGGAGGACTCAGCAGAGGACTCGTCCCCTCCTGCCACCTGCAGGTGGACCTGAGATTTCCCCCGCTGCAGCCTCACCTGTCCGCACAGACCTTGCTCTGGCAAATCGGAGCCCATTCACCGGTTTCCTCAAGAGGCACCTCTATAGGCTCCATTCCTGATGGGCAAAGGGTAGAGAGAAACTTGTTACCAAGCAAAAAGAGCAACTATGTACATTGAAGTCTGTTGTTAGGAAATTTACAAGAATCTTAATGCCCCTGGAAACTGGTTGGATCAAATATGTGTCTGGGTCTTGGAAATCTAACACAATGATTCTCTTCAGCCTGATCCGTGCCCAGCAGCTGTGCATTGAGCGTAGTTAGCAGGGACCCTGCCGTGGGCAGCCACATCCACAGTCCCCGGAACACTGTAAATCCCTTTGGAAGTTTTCTCTACCTCTGGGAGACTCCACATCCCAAAGTCATTGTTCTCTGAGCTACCTAAAACTCTTTAAAAACAGGCAGGCAGGCGTGAAGACTCATTCTGCAAAGATATCAGCACAGAGTGTCAGCTCTTACAGCCCTTGGAAGTCAGCATCAAATTAGATTCCTACACCAAACATCACTACTTCAAAGAGTCTGTTATGCCAATGGGTTGAGAAGCTATTTTTTAATTGTTATAGATACATCATACATATAAAGGAGTATATAACACCTGTAACAGGTTAAAGAATAGCATTAACACTGATCTATACACTACTCAGAGAATAGAAAGTGAAATAATCCACTCAAATCTTTTTTGTGTATTATCCTGGGTACCTGAACGTGAACAAAAAAAGTACAATAAAAGAAGTAATATATCAATCTCACTAATAAAAATAGATATATGATATCTAATACTAAAAAAAAAATCAGCAATCCAACTTATCAACAAATTATTGCCAACTAGTGTTTTCTCTACCCCAAGAATGAAAGAATACTTCGGTATTGGACAGTCTGCTAATGTAAGACATTACACTCATAGAATATAGGAGAAAAATATAACCAACAGTTGCAGAAAAAATATCCAATAAGAAATGACTGCCAAAACTGGTTTGGCTCAGTGGATAGAGAGTCAGCCTGCGGACTGAAAGGTCCCAGGTTCGATTCTGGGCAAGGGCATGTACATTGGTTGTGGGCACATCCCCGGTAGCGGGTGTGCAAGAGGCAGCTGGTCGATGTTTCTCTCTCGTCGACATTTCTAGCTCTCTATCTCTCTCCCTTCCTCGCCCTTCCTCTCTGTAAATAAATAAATAAATAAATAAATAAATAAATAAATAAAATATATTTTTTTTAAAAAAAAGAAACTATCATTTTAGAAGACAATATGCCAATTTGCATAGAACATGTGACAAAATCTTCAGATCAACTAACAGAAATTCAGAAAAAATTCTGGGTAAAACATTGATATATAAAAATCAGTATAGTTTCTATATGGCATTCATAACCAATTTAATAGAAAAATAATAATATTCAAAATACTCAAACTATTATATATCCAAAAATGTGCAGAAAATTTCTGGAAAATATTATTAAATTTTTGGAGTAAGAAGTTTTTTTGTTTGTTTTTTTAAATATAATTTATTGATTTTTTTTTTTTTTTTTTTTTTTTACAGAGAGGAAGGGAGAGGGATAGAGAGTTAGAAACATCGATGAGAGAGAGTCATCTATCAGCTGCCTCTTGCACACCCCCTACTGGGGATATGCCCGCAACCAAGGTACATGCCCTTGACCGGAATCGAACCCGGGACCCTTCAGTCCCCAAGCCGATGCTCTATCCATTGAGCCAAACCGGTCTCAGCTGGAGTAAGAAGTTTTAAATGAAGAGAAATACTATCTATAATAATAAAAGCATAATATGCTAATTAGACCAGACAGCTGAATGACCTTCTGGACGTCCTTCCAGAAAACCTTCCTATGAAGCCGTGGCAGTGGGGGCCGAGGCATGAGCAGTTAGGGGCGATCAGGCAAGCAGGCAGATCGGGAAGGCAGGCAGAAGGGTTAGGGGTGATCAAGCAGGCAGGCAGAGGGGTTAGGGGTGATCAGGCAGGCAGGCAGGCAAGCAGTTAGGAGCTAGCTGTCCCAGATTGCGAGAGGGATATCCTACTGATGGTTTAAGCCTGATCTCACAGGTGGTTAAAGTCAAACCTACTTTTGTGTCTACCCTTCTCCACCCCCCCAACCCCCCCACCCCCACCGTATGCACTGTTTGCTTTCATTCTCTCTGCTGGCTTTTATTATAGACTGGTAGTATACATAAAATTATAAATCAGCTCTGTCCTATGGAACTTTTTGTGATGGAGGAATATTCATTCTCTGCAGGATCAGGCCTAAACCATTAGTTAGACATCCCCTGAGAGGTCCAGGATTTCAAGAGAGTGCAGGCTGGACTGAGAGACGCCCCCTCCCATGCACGAATTTCATGCATTGGGCCTCTAGTTTATATATAAAAGACAATATTATATTACATAAATTCTCCTGAACTGAATATATGGCACTACAATCAAAATATAATTACAAATATATAATTGCAAAATTCATGTGCTATTCAACACTGTAGCCACTAGCCACAATTTAAATTAACCAAAATTAAATAAAATTTAGAATTCAGTTCTCTTGTCCGGCTGGCCACATTTCAGGTGTTCAGTAGCCACATGTGACTGGTGGCTACCAAACGGACAATATAGAGAATGCATATTCCACCATCACAGGAAGTTCCCCTGGACAGAGCTGATCTGTGACTTTATGTATGAAAATCTAAGAAAGGCCAGTAGAGAATGAAAGTATGCAGTGCATACAGGAGCAGGGTGGAGGAGGGTAGAGACAAAAGTAGGCTTGCCTTCAACCACCTCAGGAGGCAGTGGGACTGACCCAACAGGTCCTGAAATTCGGGTTTCTTTATGATTTTCAAAAACGGCAAGGATGTGCAAAGAATGAAGGCCGGCACTTGAGCGCTTACGAGATTGTACCTAAGTGCCTGGCGCCACCGTGGCATTCTTTTGAGTTAATAAAGCTGTTGTCATAACCATGTCCTGCCTGTCTTTTTCCACACAGTCATAAGCCTACTTTCACCCACCCTGTATGATGATGACTGAAGGGCATAAAAGGAATGTAAGTGAAAAAGCTCGTCACGTAATTCCAGAAGTCACGCCTCTTTAGTTTCTGAATGGACCCTCAGGTCTTCACCTTTCCCCAGAAAATTCCCACAACACGAGAGGAACACGCTTCCTGTTGTCTCTACGAGGCCTTGTTTCATTTTCGGATCCCTTCAATATCTGGTGGAGGAAAAGCCCTATCTTCCTTCCACGTGAGCATCGAGGCCCCTCTGGCAGCTGCGTGGTGAAAAGGAACCCGTTTTCGCACCTTTGGCTCTAACGACCATGATCTTCTGCTGCAGGTCGATGCAGGGCTGGACCAGGCACAGCCGCGGCTCCTGCTTCTGACTCAGGCAAATGCCGTTGTGGTTCACAACCATCCAGCTCCGGTCGTACAGCAGCCCTCGGGGTCCCACAGGCCACTGTGTCACCTAAACAGAAAGGGAAGCGAGTGGTAGGCCAGGTTCTCCTCGACAATGACCTTCGCATTGTTGGGCAGTGGCTGCACACCGCCGGCTAAACCTCAGGGACTCAGCACATACTCCTGAAGGAAGAACGGGAGGGAGAGAAGAAAGTCAATGAAGAGGACAGCACAAAGGACCTGGACACCTTCCACTCACCCTGCACACCCGACCTTCTCCAATTCAACCCGTTTCTTCAGTAGGTAAGGCATGTGCAGTACAACACCCAAATCCTCCTCACCACCACCCCACTCTTTGCCCCCATGTCTTTCTTTCTGTTCCTCCAATGGACCAGGCTCCTTCTCACCTCGGGGTCTCCTCATAGGCTGTTCCCTCTGCCTGGAATGCTCTTCCCCCTCTTTCCGTATGCCTGACTCCCAGGTCTCCGGTTAAATGTCCCCTCTTCAAGAAGCCTTTCCTGCCGCCTCCAAATACAGTCTAAGTACACCACTGCAGTGGACTGTCTGTGTCACCCCAGAATTCATGTTACTCCCAAGGTAAAGTTGTTGGGAGGTGGAGCCTGTAGGAGGTGACTCGGTCACAAGGGTAGGGCTCTCATGAATGGGATTAGCGCCCTTTTCACAGAGGCCCAGAGAGCTCCCTCACCCCCGTGATAGGACACAGCAGGAAGGCAGCTGTCTGTGAACCAAGAAGCGGACGCTCACAGGGCAACACATCCACCTGTGCCTTCACGTTGGACGTCAAGCCTCCAGACGGTGAGAAATAATGTCTGTTGTTCATGAGCCACCCGGTTCACAGGTTTGCTATAGCTGCCTCAATGGACTACGTCACCCACCCACTGGGATTTTCTCTCTGGCATCCCCACCTTCGCCGTCTTGGCCTTCATCAGCAGTGTCATTCCACTCCTTGGGTGGTGTTTGGCCTCTGTCTGTTTCCCTCCTGAGACAGTCCCCCCACTGTGCCCCACCACCACCAGGGAAGGAACCGTTCCCACTTTGCTCATCACCGCCCACCAGGTTCTGCCCCACCGCCTGGCAGGTAGCAGGTGCTCAGGTGGTCAGCTTTGGAAGGAGCAGAGGGATGGAAGACCTTGAGCAAGGTACGAAACCCCTCTGAGATTCGGTGTCCCCATCTGCGAGGTGGAATACTAACTGCTGCCCGCGCTGCTGTGCGATGCAGCTGTCCCACGGAACGGGACCCATCTCTGAAGAGACAGGCCCGGTGCACAAGGGCACGTGGAGTCCCACCTGCCTCCGTTTTGAAGTGGAGGTGAACTTGCTTGATTTTTGTTTTGTTTTGTTTTTTCAACAATAAAATTTAAAGAGAGAGAGAGAGAGAGAGAGAGAGAGAGAGAGAGAGAGAGAGAGAGAGAGAGAGAGAGGGAGGGAGGGAGGGAGGGAGGGAGGGAGGGAGGGAGGGAGGAAGGAAGAAAGGAAGGAAGGAAGGAAGGAAGGAAGGAAGGAAGGAAGGAAGGAAGGAAGGAAGGAAGGAAGGAAGGAAGAAAGAAAACATGTTTCTACAATAGTCCTGATAACCATCAAGTTGACTGATGGTGACTGACTTACTTTCCTCTCTGTTGGTTTCCTATTCTTTTTGGACTCTGCCTTCTTTGTTTTGTTCTTTATTTCTTTCTTTCACATGTTTAATCTGGGACATCTCATCATTCTGTATATCCGCCCCGCAGGTAGTCTGAGTCGTGGCTTCAACTATGGGCTTCAAAGGGCTGAGGAAACTGGGCTGTTCCTTCATGTTTATGGTTCAGCCTAGAAGGCGGGCTGTGTGGGGCACCCCCGAGAAGCAGGTGACACACAGCCCTGACCCCCGTCTGTCTCCCCAAGAGCCAGGGAGCCTGTCACCCCAGAGGTGGACCTGGGCCTGAGACGTGGACACACAGAGATGACAAAGGCGGACTCACTTGGGCCACTGCTGGGGGTGCCATGGTAGGTGCCCCCGTCTCCCAGCTCAGTGACCCCAGGCAGAGTTCACTTCCACGGGGAGGGCTGAGGGGGGCACATCGCATAAGGAGTTCAAGCCCCTGCTCTGCCCTGTTCGTAGGTGACCTGGGAAAGTGCTCGGCCTCAGTGGCCTTCCAGCTCCATCTTTACAAAATGGGGATGATCCTCCCGTGCGCCTCATGTTGTTGTTTCAAGCATCGAATGAAACCAGGCACCTAAAAGGCCTCCTTAGGGAGTCAGCCCATGCACTCGCTGAGAGTTGTATCCACAGTTATTAACAGAAAGCAGGCAGGCCCTAGCCCGTTTGGCTCAGTGGATAGAGCGTCCTCCTGAGGACTGAAGGGTCCTGGTTCAATTCTGGTCAAGGGCACATGCCCGGGTTGTGGGCTCCATCCCCAGTAGGGGGCATGCAGGAGGCAGCTGACCGATGATTCTCTCGTCATTGATCTTTCTCTCTCTCTCCCTCTCCCTTCCTCTCTGACACCAATAAAGAAACACATTATTTAAAAAACAAAAAACAGGAAGCAGGCATTCACCACTCAGGGTCGCCTCCAGGGTCCCCGCAAGCAGGCAGAGCCATGTTGGACAGTCAGCCCAAACCAAGAAAGGCAGACAGAATGGCTCTTAATACACCACCGTACTCTGACCTGGAGTGGGATTTTCTGCATGTTTTTTCATATTCTGACCTTTTTTCTGCACTTTGTCCAAAACACACACCCACATTATAAACAAAAAAAGAAGCACCCTCCGTCCTGCCATGAAGACCTTACCTCAAACGCAGCGCAGGACTTGATGGGGTAGAGGAAGAGGTTGGTAACGACATGTGGCCCGAGGCCCTCACCCGGGTCTGCTGCCGCCGTCTCCGGAGGGGCCTGCAGGGGCCTGGTGGCCCCCAGCGGTGAGTGCCCACGCACAGCACCCAGAGCAGGGGGCCAGGCATTCCCGGCCCCGGAGGCTGTGGGGGTGTCTTCCGGAGGAGAGGGACTAGGTCTGTGCCCGGTGGCGGGCATGGTGGACACGGTGGCAGGCACGGTGGTGGACACAGTGGTGGGCACAGTGGTGGGCACAGTGGTGGGCACAGTGGTGGGCACAGTGGCGGGCACAGTGGTGGGCACAGTGGCGGTCACGGTGGTGGACACAGTGGCAGGCACAGTGGCGGGCACAGTGGCGGGCACAGTGGCGGGCACAGTGGTGGACACGGTGGTAGACACAGTGGTGGACACAGTGGCAGGCACAGTGGCGGGCACGGTGGCGGGCACAGTGGCGGGCACAGTGGTGGACACGGTGGTAGACACAGTGGTGGACACAGTGGCAGGCACAGTGGCGGGCACAGTGGTAGACACAGTGGCGGGCACGGTGGTGGACACAGTGGCAGGCACAGTGGCGGGCACAGTGGTGGACACAGTGGCGGGCACGGTGGTGGACACAGTGGCAGGCACAGTGGCGGGCACGGTGGCAGGCACGGTGGTAGACACAGTGGCGGGCACGGTGGTAGACACAGTGGCGGGCACGGTGGTGGGCACGGTGGTAGACACAGTGGTGGGCACAGTGGCGGGCACAGTGGTAGACACAGTGGTGGGCACAGTGGCGGGCACAGTGGTAGACACAGTGGCGGGCACGGTGGTGGGCACGGTAGCAGGCACAGTGGTGGACACAGTGGCGGGCACAGTGGTAGACACAGTGGCGGGCACGGTGGTGGGCACGGTAGCAGGCACAGTGGTAGACACAGTGGTGGGCACAGTGGCGGGCACAGTGGTAGACACAGTGGCGGGCACGGTGGTGGGCACGGTGGCGGGCACAGTGGTGGACACAGTGGCGGGCACGGTGGTGGACACAGTGGTGGACACAGTGGCGGGCACGGTGGTGGGCACAGTGGTGGACACAGTGGTGGGCACAGTGGCAGGCACAGTGGCGGGCACAGTGGCAGGCACAGTGGTGGGCACAGTGGCGGGCACAGTGGTGGGCACAGTGGTAGACACAGTGGCGGGCACGGTGGTAGACACAGTGGCGGGCACGGTGGTAGACACAGTGGCGGGCACGGTGGTAGGCACAGTGGCGGGCACAGTGGTGGACACAGTGGTGGGCACGGTGGCGGACACAGTGGCGGGCACGGTGGTAGACACAGTGGCGGGCACGGTGGTGGACACAGTGGCGGGCACGGTGGTAGACACAGTGGCGGGCACAGTGGTGGACACAGTGGTGGGCACGGTGGCGGACACAGTGGCGGGCACGGTGGTAGACACAGTGGCGGGCACGGTGGTAGACACAGTGGCGGGCACAGTGGTGGGCACGGTGGCGGGCACAGTGCTCTGAGCCTCGGTCTCTGCTGGTGCGGTGCCAGCCTCCCCAGGGGCGGCCCGAGGACCAGGCTGGCTACTCTGGGGGCGCAGCCGGGTGGCGATGATGAACCTGAGAAAGGCTTGGGCGTCCTCCAGCGTGGACATGTATCCAAACGAAATCCGCACGGACCCCGTCGGCTGCCCATCCACGAGGTCCACATCGTCTCCACAGACGTGACCAGCCTGGAAGAGGAGGGAACCGAGTCAGCAGCTCCTCACAGATAGATGTTGCTCATCTTGCGAAATAAACGGAGCGGGGAGGGAGGGGGGAGGAGGGAGGAGGGAGAAGGGAGGGGGGAGGAGGGAAGAGGGAGGAGGGAGGAGGGAGGAGGGAGGAGGGAGGAGGGAGGAGGGAGGAGGGAGGGGGGAGGGGGGAGGGGGAAGGGGGAGGAGGGAGGAGGGAGGAGGGAGAAGCTCTGATGGATGCGGAATGCCCCTGGGAGGGTCCCCTCCTCACTCAGCCCAGGACAAGGGGACTCCAGCTGGAGATGTTTACCCTGATCGGGCTGGGCCCTCTGTAAGAGCATGTTCCCACGCATGCTCGCCCCCTGTCAGAACCCCTCTTCAGCCTTGACATGTTGCCTTCACAGTAAAAAAATGGCTTCCATGGAGATACCCTCCTGCAGCATTTTCCTGCTTGTTGATCCGTTTCCTTTGCACAGCCAAGTGGTGGGCTTAGAAGGTGAATCCGAGCCCACCCCACACCAGGCCGGCCTCCAGGATTCCTGGGGGTGCCACCTGGGGTGCTGCTGGCATGCGTTCGGGCCACGGGGCCTGACACCCACCTGGAGGTGCTTCTTGACCATGTCGTCGCTGAGGCCCAGGTGCCGCTGGCAGGCGCCCGTGTTGCAGAAGCAGCCGGTGCGCAGCTGGATGTTGAAGAGGCTGGCCATCTTCTCCACCTGCGGGCGGGACGGGACACGGAGCCCGGTGAGGAACGGCCGGCGTTACTCAGTGACGCTGTCCCAGGCCACTCTCTGGACCTCCCTTTCCGAACAATAAAATGAAAACAGGAGCCTGCCAGTGTGCCCTAAAGGGCCATGATCTTCTCAAGTTTACGGAACGCATTGTATAAGAGGCTACCGATCATTAAGGTGGATCCAGTGGGATACAGATGGATGCCTGAGGAAAGAGAAAGTATCGCCCTGGCCAGGTCGCTTGATTGGTTAGACTCAAGGCAGTTAGACTAACCCTCAGAGTGTCATCCCACTACACCAAGGCCAGGGGTTCAATCCCCAGTCAGGACACATACAAGAATCAACCAATGAATGCATAAATAAGTGGAACAACAAACCTCTCTCTCTCTCTCTCTCTCGCCCCCACCCCCTCCTTTCAAAAACAATACTTTTTAAAAAAAAAATTTAGGCCAAAATTCCAAGTTAGGGCCCATTCATTTCAAGCGAGATGATTAAGCACAGAACCCGAGTGCAGCTGCCACGTGGGCAGCCCTCGCACCCTCCGCCACGGGGTTGACCCCAGAGCAGGCCCAGCTGAGCTACCACCCTGAGCAGCCCCGCCTGGGCCCACAGCCCGTACTGAAGACATGACTGTGTTGACCCTGTGTGTTACCCGTTTGCTTGTCATAATGCCCTGACTCTGGGCTGAATCCCAGAACCGCTGCTCAATCCAGAAGCTCCCAGGTATTTTCCCATTTCCCTGGCGGCGCTGGGAGGTGACTCCCATTCACTCAAGACACGCAGGCAGGGTTAGCATGAGGGACCTTTGTCCCAGCTCTCCCGCTGTGGGCCAAGGGCTCCATGCCTCTGAGGGCCTGGAAGCCCAGTGAGGGGTCTCAGCCCCGGGAACTGGGGTTAAACTCAGAGGAGTCACCTAGCTGCGTTCAGGGAGACAAATACAGCTGGAGCAGTGGGGTAAGCCCTGGAAACTTTCCTCCCTGGGAAGTCACGTGTTGGGTCACCAGAGCAGCCAGGAGGATACGGCGCCCTCTGCAGACCACAGGTCACCTGGGCCAGCCCGGGCCCCAGCTGGGGAATGCTGGCAATGGTGCGTACCTCTCTTGTCAAGACCATGGCTGTCTCCCCTGGACTATCAGAATGAGAAGAAGCTATTCTCTGGGCTGAACCAAGAGGCCTCCGAAAACAACTCCACTCCTTAGTCCTGAGGAGCAAGCAGCTCAGTGATGTGGAAACCCAGTCATGATATCTCAGGAATCTGAGAGGAGACGTCTGGCCAAACCCATTCCCAGGGTCGGAGGAAGGGATTCTTTGCAAGTTGCGCCCTCTGGTGGACATTCTGAGAACAGCGCTCTAGTAAGGGATTCGGGGCGATGGTGCCCCTAGGGGAGCGCATCACTCTCCCAACTCCAACTCCCGCCACCACTCAATCAGAAGTCACCCATCGCTGCCTTCTCCCCACCCACTCCTCGTTATCACTGCTGCGCAACAAGCCACCCACACCTGGTGGAATAAAACAACCATTTTACTGTGCTCTCAGCTACAGTGGGTCAGGAACTGAGAAAGGGCACTGAGGAGGTGACCTGACCCTGATTCTTCATTTCTCAAGTCTCGGTTGGGAGGACTCAAAAGCTGGGAGTGAGGTGGCATGGGATGCTGGAATTGCCTGGGGACTGGCTTCCTCATGCGTGTGCCTGGCCTCCCCGGCTAGGCGGGCTCAAACTCGCACTGCCACCATCGAGTGCCTACCCTCAGCCTCTCCCCGCCTGTAATGCTCCTTCAGGTGACCACCAGCTGCCACGTCTGAGTGCTTGGTGTGGCTTTGGACTCTTTCAGAGACTGGCCAGTGACCAGCTTACTCAACTGTGGCAAGAATGCAAGCAGCTCCTGGTCTACAGACCCCTCCTAGCACTATTTTCATGAGAAAATAGACACAAAGGATATACCCGCAGAAGCGCCTTTATAACCAACCCATCAAAGCCTCTGAATTCATGCTAGGCATGAACATGGCACAAGCAAGGGTTTCTGTGGTACTAAGGACATTGTTTCCGAGAGAGGGGGGGGGGGGGCAGGGAGGGGAGGGGGGGGGAGGGGAGGGGAGGGGAGGGAAGGGAAGAGAGAGAGAGAGAGAGAGAGGAGTTCCGAGTTGCAAGCAACATACAAACAAATGGTGACAGTGCGCCTATGATTCTGCATGACACTGCGATGTGCTCTTGAATGTCACCAAGGCTACCAAGCTGTCTGTACACCAATGACCTCAGACATGGTACTTGGTCTCCACTGCTCTCCTGCCGACAGGACTTTAGGGCATGCTCTTTGCATTGCTGTCAGAGACTCGCCTCTCTCTCCCCACTTGCCCTTGACTACTGGCCGGATAAAGAGGACAGAAAACTAAGCAGACATGCTTGCAAGGAGCAACCTCAGAAGGAGCCTGTCCTCTACGGCCGAGCCTGGGCTTCGTCATGGCTCCTGCTAAGGCCCAGAGGCCTTGACCACACATTTCGGGGAGGCTGCCAAGTTCCAGACAAGGGCCACCCTGCTGTGGACAGGTAGGTGCGGTGGAAAGAAAAGAAAACCCACCTGGGAGTAACCGACGACGCGCCCCTCGGCGTCGAGCACGTTGAAGTTGATGACGGGGCCCTGCACCTCGGGGCTGCAGAACGCGGAGTCGCAGTAGATCCGCACCACGGGGGCCCCGCTGGGGTACCGGAGGGCGCGCAGGGCGGTGTAGGTGTACCGAGCCAAGGTGAAGGTGTGCTGCTGCACGTTCTCCATGCCGCCTCAAAGACGGGAGAAAACGCCGGAGAGAATTACTAGTTTGATAGCAAATCCACTCGCTCCTTTTCAAGAAAACGTGATCCTTATAACTGGCAGACCTGGACCTGATGTTCATGATTTTAAATACTTGTAAATATTTGGTGCTGCCCACAAGATAAATGTTCAGGTCTTTGGTACTAGACAAGTTTACCATTGCTGAATTTTCCCGTGGGAATACCTGCCATCCTATCTAATAAAAGAATAATATGCAAATTGACTGTCACTCCAACACACAACAATGGCTGCCCCCATGTGGACACAAGATGGCCAGCAGGGGAGGGCAGTTAGGGGTGACCAGGCCTGCAGGGGAGGGCAGTTAGGGGTGACTAGGCTGGCAGGGGAGAAGTTAGACTTCAATCAGGCTGTCAGGGGTTGGTTAAGTGGTGATCAGGCTGGCAGGCAGAAGAGGTTAGGGGCAATCAGGAAGGCAGACAGGCGAGCAGTTGGGAGCCAGCAGTCCTGGATTGTGAGAGAGATGTCCAACTGCTCATTTAGGCTCGATCTCTCTCCTCGCTCCCGTGCATGAATTTTGTGCACAGGGCCTCTAGTTCATATATATATAATCTTACACACCTACTACAATCTTTTTAAAAAACAACAACAAAAAACAATGAAGTTGGAAAACTCAGGGTTTGCTCTATTGGAAAACAGACATTGTCGATCTACTTTCAAAGGTGCCCTGGCCCTGTCAGACCCTGCCACTTGCATTTGGGTGCCATGTTGATATCTTTCCTAGGGAAAGCGCCCTTTTTCAGTGCCCATCCTGATTACCACCTCCCTGTCCTGGTTGACGCCCACCCACCTCCCTGCAGGGCACCTCCCTCCCCCCATGAGGCCGTCCGGCTGAGACTAAGGACCTGCGGGGCCCCATGGCTGTGACGAAAGAGACGGAGAAAGGGCTGCCCATCCGTGAAGCCACGCTCCTGGTTCACCCCAGGGCCCTCTCCACATGGGCACAAGCGGTGCCACCAGCTCTAGAAGCTCAACCTCCAGAAGGGGCACAGCAGGATGGCGGATGCCCGGCTCACCGGCCGGAGCTTCCTCCAGGCCTGTACCTTTGTGTCCAGGCCCAGGTGATGGGAAGTGGCATCTGTGTGTGTCAGATTACAGCGAGCGCCCACACTCCTGTGCGCTCATCAGGAGGGAAATATGCAGCTGAAACCGGTTTGGCTCAATGGATAGAGCGTCGGTCTGCGAACTGAAAGGTCCCAGGTTCGATTCCGGTCAAGGGCATGTACCTTGGTTGCGGGCAAATCCCCAGTGGGGAGTGTGCAGGAGGCAACTGATCGATGATTCTCATTGATGTTTCTAACTCTCTATCCCTCTCTCTTCCTCTCTGTAAAAAATCAATAAAAAATATTTTAAAGAAGAAAAAGAAGAAGAAGAAGAAGAAGAAGGAGGAGGAGGAGGAGGAGGAGGAGGAGGAGGAGGGAAATGTGCAGAGGCCGGAGGCAGACACAGCGATTGGAGGCTCGGGGTCAGGCCTTAGTCATCCTGCATGTAAACCCACGCCTCCTGCCTGCCAGCTCCCCAGTCCTGGAGAAGGCAGTGGCCTCCCTGAGCACTGGAGGAGGCAGGCTAGCCATGGGCCTGGGTGGGGCTGCAGGGGGCACCCAGCAGGGTGAGAGTGGAGGAGGCCTTGGGACCTGTAACCCATCCCAGTGCTGGTGCCTGGATGTCTCCTCTGCTTCCGTGAGGCCATTCATGTCCTGCCTCGGTTGTCTCTTACCTACAAAACTGTCTGTCACTGACAAAAAGCCCGTCCCTTGCTCTTGCCTCCGGGGTCCCTGAGAAGCCCTTCAGCGCCTGCTCTACAGACCGTCCCTGTACAGCTGCCGTGTGCCGGTCATGCACCCCCTCTCCTTCATCTGAACCCCCCCAGGCTGGGCTCCCCGCAGGACGCGGGCCCCGGGAGCCAGTTCCACGGGATGACCATGTCCCCTACCTGTGAGGCGCTCCAGGGCATCAAATCCGTGCTTGAGCGCTATCACGTCGAGGAACGGGATGGTGCCATCCTCAAACCTGTAGCCAGGGTGAGAGAAGGAGGTCAGGTGGGGCCGCGTCTCCACATGCATGTGGTGGCACGTGATGACGGGCTCAGCCACCTCTGTGAGCGCCTTCTCTCTGCCGCCTCAGAAGCATCCCTCTCCTCCTCCTCAGGGCAGGGGCTCTGCTCATCAGACCCACCACAGCCTCCTCGGGGCGGCCGAGACCCAAGGCCTTAAAGACAGTCGCCGTCTGAGACATGAGCGAGCAGCGAGATGCCTGGCTGCCCTAAGAAGACACACCTGCCTGGCACAAGCTGCCCACCTCTCCCTGCCTTCACAGGCCCTGTTGGCTCAGTCAAGTTTGGGTGTCATGTTGTTCATATGCTGTGGCTATCTTTCTATTCTCACTTAACCATGTTACACATTGACTTATCACACAGGTATTCAAAAGGTTTTACATTAGTGTTTCTGTTTTAGGGTCCCCCAATGACGGGGCGGACGTTCTAAATAAAAAAGACGTCCACTAGCCTCACAATGTTCCTGATGCCAACCCCATCCTGGTGCTTCACCTCTTAGCGCTAAAGAATAGTATCTTGCTAGAGAGCCACTGTTTTTATTTTTAATCCTCACCTGAGGACATGCTTGTTGATTTAAGAGAGAAGGGAAGAGAGAGAGAGAGAAAATCAGTGTGAGAGAGAAACATCAATTAGTGCCTTCCCATATGTGCCCCAACCGGGGATCAAGCCCATAACCTAGGTATGTGCCCTGACCAGGAATCGAACCTGCAACCTTTCACTATATGAAATGACACTGAGCCACACCGGCCAAGGCCAGAAACCCACTTTATCGGAAAAACAGGAGGTGCTGAGATCAAGCCACTTGCCCCTGACCCCACGGCTGGGGCATGTTGGAGTCGGGACTCACTCCCCAGCGAAACCAGCTCTGGGGCCTACACACATGGCCAATCACTCCGCTGCCGAAGCCACGCCACTCTCTGCAGGACCCCTGAGTCTGCTCCTGGGTCTGTGGAGGACCTGACCCCCTTCCCATCCAGGCCCCAGGCCTCCTCAGACCCAACCTGCCCCAGCCCCGTGGCACCCCCTCCTGTTGGGACCCTGAGTTCTCAGCTGCCCGTTTCGGCCTCTCACATATTAGCTGTTATGGGTCCTATCGCCATCGGGGAAATTCCTGAGCATGAAGCATGGTGCCTGCCTGCAGCCAGGGAAAACCCCGGCAGAGGCCTGTGCGTTGGATGCCACCACCTGCCTGCCGGCCCTCCACTGTCCTTCGTACCGCACGGCGGGGCTCACGGAGGCAGCTGCTCACAGTGCTGGCAGCCCCGTGGCCTCTCGTTCAGCTGATTCCTCCTATGAACCGGGCCAAGCAGGGCTGATTCCAGCTGCTCAAAGCCAGCGATGCTGTCCACGTGTGTGCACCCTCGTTCACAATCGTTCAAATTGCCGAAACCGGTTCGGCTCAGTGGATAGAGCGTCAGCCTACGGACTGAAAGGTCCCAGGTTCGATTCCGATCAAGGGCATGTACCTTGGTTGCGGGCACATCCCCAGTAGGGGGTGTGCAAGAGGCAGCTGATCGATGTTTCTCTCTCATCGATGTTTCTGACTCTCTATCCCTCTCTCTTCCTCTCTGTAAAAAATCAATTATATATATATATATATATATATATAATTTTTTTTTTAATTGTCCAAATCGCTGCTTTCATGGACACCCCTACCGGAATTCTGTGCAGAGGTCTGGGGCCCCTCCTTCCTCTGGGAGGACCTCTCACCTCTTCTGCGTGCAGCCCTCACCCACAGTCCATCTGCTCCCCCCCTTCCTCTTTAAGGGCCCTGCCAACAGGAGCAGAGTTCACTGAGCCATGGCTTCTGCCCCCCGCATCTGAGCCTGCCGCCGGCCTCCGCGTCCCTGCCAGGCATGGTCAACCCCTGACCCCCGTGGCCCAGCCTCTCCTGACCCCTCCCCCCCTGCACAACCCCACAGGCTGCACAGCCAGACCCCAGACTGGCTGGACTCTGCCCCCCGCCCCTGCCCCGCCCCCCCCCCAGGCTAGATGACCTTTCTGCCAGGGACGGCCTGGGGACGTAGAAGTCCTCTCCGGCCAGGTAGGCGGCCGCCGTGCCGCCTCCGAAGTAGGTTTTCCGCAGCAGCGGGGCGGCCCGGCGGTGCACCAGCAGCGCGCCCAGGCCGGTGGGGAAGCCGAGGATCTTGTAGAAGGAGAGGGCGACGAAGTCCGCCGGGTGCGCCGACAGGTCCAGCGGGGAGGTGCCCGCGTAGGCGGCGGCGTCCAGCAGCGCGAACCAGCGCCCCGGCGCGCCCTCGCCCGCCGGGCACAGGCGCCCCGCCGCCGCCTCGCCCGCCCAGGCCAGCGGGTACCGGGTGCCGGCGAAGTTGCTCTGGGCCGGGTAGCAGAAGAGGTGCGGCGGCTGGCCGTCGGGGCCAACGGCGGCGGGGGCAGCACCCCGTTCCTCCTGCGGCCGCAGGGCCTCCGGCCGGACCGGGACGCAGGTGGCACCGCGGGCCGCGGCCACCGCCCGCATGCCCACCGCGGAGGTGTGGCTGTCGGTGAGGTAGCAGAACAGGCTCCCGCGGCTCCACGGGAAGGCCTCCGCCACCAGCTTCAGGGCGGCCGTGCTGCCGGCGGTGAAGACCACGCTGTAGTCCTCCGGGGAGGTGCCGAAGTGCGCCAGGACCCTGCAAAACACGGAGTTCGCAAGGACCTGCATGTCCACTGCACGGCGCATCCCACTGCCCCCATAGCTAGACCCAAGCCCAGGCAGGCTCTGCCATCGCTGTGAGGTCAGAGCAGGTGTGAGAAGGATTCGAACCGGCAAAAGCACCTTGCCTCCCCGGTGCCAGCCCTCACCACAGGAGAGGAAACCCACAGCGGCCTGGCCTCAGTGGAAAACACTCTCGCCTCTCTACCACCGTGCGTGGCAAGTCCCCAGCTCATTCCATGTTGCTTTTAAGACTGGCGACCCAGGATCCCTTTCAAACTGGAGATAATTTGAAACCGTATCTATTCAAGTCACTAGGTACCCCTTGGAAATTACTTACCGAACACTAATTACTACGTGTGGAAAAATATTAAGAGTCGTTTCATGTGCAAATATTAGTTTAAAAGAAAGGGGGGGGGGGTGAATAAAACAAGATGCCTAATGAAACATGAAAAAGAAAAACCAGAGAAACTGTTTTTATTCTCTCTGAAAATAAGACTTAAGACCTGTGTCGCTCCTTATTACTCTGGTCCCCAGGAACGGGGGCACCAGCCCAGACACACACACACACACACACACATACACACACACACACACACACACACACACGGCGGTACGCCCCTCAGCTGCCTCCCTGTCAGACCCCTTTGGCACCTGCTCACTCTCACCTTCCCAACCTTGGACCCTGATCTTGTGTGTGTGGCCATTTAACTGAAGGTGATCCTCCTGAAACCAGTTCAGAACCTGGGGTGTGGGCAGGTGTAGGAAGCGTGTCCGTACACCTGGGAGAGCCTGCTCCAGAGGCCGTCCCTCCGCTCACCTGTAGCGCACCTGGTCCACGGTGTCCTGGGTGAGCCTGCTGCTGATGTTCTGGCTGTGAGGGTTACCTGAGGGGTTCCAAAGACAGCCATCAAGTCACTCACTGCTTATGGTCTCTCCTTTTCTACTCCTCCAAATCCCTCTCCCTTGATTTCTCAAAAAGTTAAGCATGAAACTATTATATGATTCCACTCCTACATACACAATAGAAATGGAAACATGTCCACACAAAAATTCATGCACAAGAATGTTCACAGCAGCTCTATTTGTAAAGCTAAATTCTGGGAACATAAGTGTCAATCAACTGGTGAACAGATAGATAAAATGTAACATATCCATACAATGAAAAATTATTTGGTGCCCTAACCAGTTTGGCTCAGTGGATAGAAGGTCGGCCTGCAGACTGAAGGGTCCCAGGTCCGATTCCGGTCAAGGGCATGTACCTTGGTTGTGGGCACATCCCCATTAGGGGGTGTGCAAAAAGCAGCTGAACAATATTTCTCTCTCATGGATGTTTCTAACTCTCTATCCCTCTCCCTTCCTCCCTGTAAAAAAAATCAATAAATATATATTTTTAAATTTTTATTTAGCTTGAACCTCAAAAGCATGCTAAGTGAAAGATGCCATAGGGTGGGGTGTGGAGGCGGGCTAGAAGAGCTCAATGAGGGAGGAAAGGGGGACGTATGTAATACTTGCAACAATAAAGATTAAAAAAAAAAAAAAAAAAAAAAGACGCCAGACACAGAGATCACATCTTGCATGATTCCACTTGTATAAAACTAGAAACCTGGTGCACAAAATCCGTGCATGAATAGGGTCCCTAAGCCTGGCCAGTAATCGGGGCCAATCGGGGCCTTCAGGCTGCCGGCTGTTGGCTGTGGTTTTCCTTCATTGTGTGCCGCCCCCTGGTGGTCAGTGCACGTCATAGCGAGTGATTGAACTCCCAGTCTCCCAGTTGAATTCCCCAGAGGACACTTTGCATATTAGCCTGATAGATAGATAGATAGATAGATAGATAGATAGATAGATAGATAATAGATAGATAGATAGATAGATAGATAGATAGATAGATAGATAGATGATAGATAGATAGATAGATAGATATAGATATCCAGCAAAGATGACTGTATAGAGAGACTAGAGAGACAGAAAGTAGTAGATGAGTGTTGGCTTGGGGTGAGAGTGAGTGGGCAGGTTGAGTGGTTGAGAAAGCAACAGAGATCAATGGCCATCAGAGATTTTATTGAGAGAATGAAAATATTCTAAATGATTTATAGTGAGACTAAAAATCATTGAATTGGCCGAAACCGGTTTGGCTCAGTGGTAGAGTGTCGGTCTGCGGACTGAAAGGTCCCAGGTTCGATTCCGGTCAGGGGCATGTATGTTGGTTGTGGGCACATCCCCAGTAGGGGGTGTGCAAGAGGCAGCTGGTCGGTGTTTCTAGCTCTCTATCTCTCTCCCTTACTCTCTGTAAAAAATCAATAAAAATATATTTTAAAAAATAAAAAAATAAAAATCATTGAATTGTACACTTGAAACATGTGAATTTTGTGGATATAAAATATTACTCAAGAAATCTGGCCCAGCTGGCATGGCTCAGGAGATGAGCATAGACTAGGTCATAGATCAATTCTCAGTCAGGGTACATGCCCAGGTAGGTTGTGGGCTGGATCCCCATTGTGAGGCGTGCAGGAGGCAGGCCATCAATGTTTCTTTCTCATCATTGATGTTTCTATCTCCCTCTTCCTCTCCCTTCCTCTCTTGAATCAATAAAAAATAATTAAATTTTAAAAACCCTGCCAAACAAGTAAAACAAACAAGACAGGATCTAGGAAGAGCCTCTGGAACTGGAAGTCAGCCAATACGAGAACCTCTTCTAAAAGTTTCCCAACAGGTGGCCAGCCCGGTTCTGTCATTAACTCCGGGCAGCCACGCTGCCTAGAGACTCCGCTCCCCGGACTGCACCCAGCCCAGCGCTTCCTGACCATGTGGCCTCGGGAAAATGACCTGCCTCCCCGGGCAGTCCCCTCGCATGGACAGAGGAGAGGTAACAGGACCTGTACCTGAGCCTGCCCTGAGGAGGGAGAGATAATGCAGGTGAAGTATTTGGAACAGTACCTGAAGCGCAATGAGTGCTCAGTACAGGTTATTGTTATCATTTATAGCTATTATCATGACCATGGTTACACCAGCTACTACAGTTATTTTGAGAAGGAAAACCCCTATTTTGTTAAAACAAACAAAAAACTGCTGTTTGGAATTTTCTGCTGTTTATTCTTAGATAAAATGTTTGCTTTCTAGCCTGCTTGTAAAATGAGGATCATAAAATTAGCTGTCTGACCTGGCAGGTCAAGATTAGGTATGCCCATAAAGTTAGCTGTGTTTGTTTTCAAGGACAGCAGGGAGATAACCACTAACTGCACAGAGAGCTGGCTCCTTAATAAAAAGGGAAGCTCTGCTTGTAGCCTTGCTTAGAATTTGAATTCATTTTCTCTATGCCCATGGCTCCATGAATAAAGTGAGTCTCTCCAAACTCTCCTCCTGCATTGTTTGATTGTTCGGTAGCTCTGTAACAATTTCAAAGTCGCTTTCCAAAGTTATCTCCTGAACACATTATGCTTTCAGTGGCTTGCCATCGTTTCTAGAATAAGGTTCAAACTCTACAGAGCACCCATAAGGTACCTACCTACCTTCTCACTCATGCCTCCCTCTGAGTTCCCGGGCTGGTTTGAAACCGCAGCAGGGTCCTGGCTCATGTTGTTCCCTTTGCCCTCCTCCTGACTCTTTTCCAAGTGAACTCCTGCTCATCCTCCAGCATCGAGCCCACTCCTCAGAAACCTTCCCTGACGCTCACACTGCCCACCTGCTGTCCCTCTGCAGATCCAGACGCCATGGCCCAGAGGCCTCTGGTTCACAGCCCTCCACACAGTTGGTAATTCACATTAGAGATCACTGACTTGACGTCTTGCCCTGACTAGACCAGAGTCCATGAAGGCAGGGGCTGATTACTTTGTGCCCATTTGCACCATGCCCCCGACACCAGAGGGGCTGGCAAATATTTAGGGAGTGAATGAATAAACACATGCCTGTTCCCCCAGTCCCAGAGGCCCTCCCACCACCAAACACAGCATCTTGTGCCTCTGTGCCTTTCCTGGCGCCGACCTTTTCTTCTGGAAGTGGCACATGTGCCCCTGAGCCAGGTCCCCCATCCTGGCAGCAGGCAAGTTGTAAAAAATGACGTGTTTGCCTGACCCCCTCATCATCGTGCTTATTCAGCTTTGGGTCCCAGTTCGGTCCCGTCTACAAACCCAACATTTATTCAGCAGAGACAGATCCTCTGAATGTAGTCAGCTAACACCCAGTGCAAAAATGAGTGACGGCGCATTCTTCTTTACCGTAAACATTTTCCAGGAGGTCGCGCGTGAAGCTCCTGAGCTGGCTCTCGGGGAACAGCGTGGCTCCTGCGTGGTCCAGGTAGACAGTTCCTGAGAGAGAGCACAGAACGAAGCTGTGGCTATTTTTTAGACGTTTCCCACTGCTTGCACCTAGATCTTGTGTATGTGAGCGTGAGCAGTGCCCATGGGTTGCGTTTGGGCTTAACAACAGGGTGCTTCTCAATCCAAGTGCAGACACGAGCAATGGAAGAACTGCACTTTCCATAGTTAATGAGCCTGAGAGTCTTCCTGACTAACCAGCTCTCTCAGGAACCTGGGAGAGTTTCTCACACAAAGGAAGAGCCAAACAGACCCTAGAGCTAGTTCACCTTCTGACTCACACCCTCTTCCCGTTTCTGTGCCGCCTCCCTGGCCTGGAGACCTGATTCTGCTTTCAGTGGTGAATTCTACATCTCTCTAAAGCTTTGAGCACTCCAGAGAATACTAGTAACTTGCATGATCTTTCCGGCCTCTTTCACAAACAAGGAAGGCAAATTCAGATGAGAGTAAGAGGTTTATCATCAGGTGGTCAAGACCAAAGGGTTGGATAACTCACTGCATGGGTGAAGGCATGGGAAAACAGGCCAGCTGGTACATGGCTGGTAGGAAGGCAAATTGGTACAACTGCGCTTTTTTAAAATATATTTTTATTGATTTCAGGGAGAAAGGGAGAGGGAGAGAGAGAGATAGAAACATCAACAATGAGAGATAACAGAAACTAACCTACTGGGGATCGAGCCCACAACCCAAGCATGTGCCCTTGACCAGAATCGAACCCAGTTTATGGACAGCAATTGGGCAATATCGGTAATACTTTACAATGCAAACTCTCTTTGACCTGCCAATTATTCTATCTTATAAATAACTGTGCTCTTATGAAATGGGCTCTCTATGAAGATATTTCTTTCTGACCTTTATCAATACAATATTGTCTGATATAGACAAAGATCAGAAATGATTTAAAGGTTCATCACCATGTATTTAAAATAAAGGATTCTTATACACTTCTCTGGTACTTTAAAAGTACTGATAGGGAACAAACTCTGAAACACATTTTCAAGAGTTATACAATGTAAATAGATCCATTCATTTTCTTGGCTAGCTATCCTGGCTAGAACCTCTGGTGCAATGTTGAATACCAGTGGCGAGAACAGATATCCTTGTCTTGTTCCTGGTCTTAGCGGGTAAAGCTTTCAGTTTTTCACCATCAAGTATGATGTTGGCTCTGTTTATTTGTTTATAGATGGCCTTCATCTGGTTAATTAAATTTCCTTTGAGTCCTAGTTTATTGCATGTTGTTATCATGTAAATGTATTAGCTAGTCCAGAAAATTATTGTTAAAATAACATTCTTTTTTTTTCCTCTTTTTTTTCATTATTTTCTGTGTATATATCTTACCATTGCCCCCCCCCCACCTCCAATACATACCCTCCCTCCCCAGAGTTTTGTGTCCATTGGTTGTACTTATATGCATGCATATAAATTCTTCGGTTGATCTCTTATCTCCCCCATATCTCCCTACCCTCCCCGCTGTAATTTGACAGTCTGCTTGTTGCTTTACTGTCTCTATATCTATCTTTTGGTTCATCAGTTTATAATGTTCTTTATTATCCATAAATGAGTGAGGTCATGTGGTGTTTCTCTTTCTTTGACTGGCTTATTTCACTCAGCATGATGTTCTCCAATTCCATCCAGGTTGCTGCAAATAATAAGAATTCCTTCTTTTTTATGGCAGCATAGTATTCCATTGTGTAGATGTACCATAGTTTTCTGATCCAATCATCTGCTGATGGGCACCTAGGCTGTTTCCAAATCCTAGCTATTGTAGATTGTGCTGCTATGAACATAGGGGTGCATGTATCCTTTCTGATTGGTGTTTCTAGTTATAACGTTCTCTTTAAGTGGAGAGTCAGTGATACAAATTACATACAAAAAGAAAGGCTTCCATCCCCCCCCTCCCCCCAGGCCCTGGGGAAGATGATCCAGGACCCAGGACCCAGGTAAAACCTGAGGGGGGAGGGGAGGAGGCTGAGGCTTTGCCCACAGACTTGTGCAGGGCCAGGGAGCCATTTGGGAGAAGGCTGCACTGGCCTTTGGTCCAGAACCTCATGTTGCAAAACTAACTAGAGATCTAAATCAGCTAGAGATCTGCTCTTAGGAGGTCAGCCAGCACAGTGGCTAACAGTGCAGAATCCAAGTCAAACCAACCTTAATCAAATCCTGCTAGCCATTTGGGGTCCCTATTCCTTCATCTGCAAATGGGATGGAAGTTAAATGAGTTGGTGTATGACAGGGCCCAGTCCAGTGCCTGGCACACATGCCACAGGGTTCGGCTGTCCTTAAAAGAAGGCAAATTACTCCAAACCAACTGGCATTAGGTCTTCAAGAAAGGAAACCCCAGTGTCTCTTCTGGGTCATGCTCCTCCAGCTCTCAGTTCCATCAATAGTGGCCATCAGCACCCTGAAGCTTCAAGAAGCACTTGAACCACGTCTGTGTATTGAATATGCTCCCTTCACCAAGACGAAGAAATTCCCACCCAACTGATTAGGCAAAATATTTCAGACTTGAAGGTTAAGCATTTAACTACCCAGAACTACCACTTAACCAGGCAAATTCTCAAGCCTGCAGAAAATCTGTGGGGTGACGGGGAAGGAAGAGAAAGTAAAAGTCATATTATTTTGGCTTGTTGTGTTTGTTTGATTTTCCTCTGCCCTAGGAGGGGGTGGAGGGGACAGAAATGTTCCAAAACTCCTAGTGGTGGGAGAGGTGAGTTTAGTCCACAAAAGCCTACTTCAATCACAATGCAGAGAAAAACGCTGGAAACCTGCACCAAGTAGATAAATAGATAAATAAATAAGGATGCACACAGCACTACCACAAGTGCAGGAAGTCCCCAAGTTAGGATGATTTGACTTAACAAATTTTATTTTATTTTTACTTTATGATGATATGAAAGTGATACCCATTCAGCAGAAGCCATACTTTTTGAATTTCGATCTTCTCCTGGTCTACTGATATGCAGTACAATCTTCTCTTGTGATGCTCAGCAGTGGAAGCAAGCCGTGGCTCCCAGACAGCCGTGCCATCGCAGGGTGAACAACGGATGCCCAACTGCAGGTTAATGCAAGTGCTCTGAGCACGTCTAGGTAGGCTAGGCTCAGCGATGGCGTTCAGTAGGTGTATTCCATGCATTTTCCACTTACGATATTTTCTGTGTATGATGGTTTTATCCAGAGATAACCCCCAGTAAGGGAAGGAGCATGTGTACAGTGGATGTTAAAGGGGCTCTGAAGCCCAGCCTGAAACCCTGGCTGTCCCATCCAAATTACAAATTTGAAGGGGAAGGTGCTATTCCTTAAAGCACATGTGTCAAACACAAGGCCCTCGGGCCAAATCCGTCCCGCCAGGCCTTGCAATGTGGCCCGCACCGCGCTGTCATCACTGCACTCCGCTGCGTTTCCATCACAATGACAGTTTATGACTGTTCAGTAAACCATTCGGCCCGCGATTTAGGCTGGATTTTAGATTTTGGCCCCTTCTCTGATTGAGTTCGACACCCCTACCTTAAAGGACAAGAGTGAAACTAGGAGGTGCCCAGAGAATTCAGCACTCCTTTTTTATTATATTTTTTTATTTTGGAGGGGTGAAGGGTGGGGTCAGAGCTGGAGGAGATTAAGGTGCTAAAATAATTCCTGACTGAATGACTACAGCCTCTGGGACTTGCTTCAAATGGAAGGGAAATCTCTCTCCCTCCCTCCGCACCTGTGGGTGTTCAATATACTGGTCTATGTCGGTGGGTAGGAGATTTCTATCATAAAAACGCTCAGGGAGCTGAAACTGGTTTGGCTCAGTGGATGGAGGTCGGCCTGCGGACTGAAAGGTCCCGGGGTTCGAGTCCAGTCAAGGGCATGCACCTTGGTTGCGGGCACATCCCCAGTAGGGGGGAGAAGGGGATGCAAGAGGCAGCTGATTAATGAATGTTTCTCTCTCATCTAGCTTTCTATCCCTCTCCCTTCCTCTCTGTAAAAACTCAATAAAATATATATTTTTTAAAAAACAAACAAACAAACAAACAAAAAACGCTCAGGGACAGAAGGTGGAAGCAGAGGGACAAGGGCACAGTCTCCTGCAGGTGAGTGTGCCGCTTTCAACCGGGAGGGAGTGTAGCAGGCCGGCCTGCAGGCCCGCCTTCTGCCCGAGCCTCCCCCCCTTAACTACAGTCCGGGACACGCCAAAAGCAGGCCACACCCCTCAGAGCCCCCAACGGGGGGGTGGGGGGGTGAGCGGGGGAGAAGAGTCACTAACTGGAACTTCAGGAAATAACCCAAACAGCTGGATCAGCTAACCGATTCATGACATGTGGGTGGCCGGTGTCTTGCCACGGGGAGGCGCAGCCACCAAATGCCCACCGAAACCACAGGCACACCTCCTCCGGGCGCGGCACCCCACCTGCCACTGCACCTGAGCGCCAGCCCCGCTCCGGGCTAAGCCTCCCACGAGATCTCTGGCAGAGGGTCAGTGCTCCCCTGCGGCGCGGGGCGGGGGCGAGGCGGGGGCGCGCGGGGAGCCGCCGCAGGGCCAGATCGGGGTGGATCTCACCCTTAACCAGCTTGTTCCACCTCCCAGAACCCAAGGGCACCCCGACCTCGTGCCCAAGGTCCAGGCTCGCCTTGTACCCCAGCTCGTTAGGGGGTGGGGACTGAAGGAATGAGCAAACTGTCAAAGTTGACAGTTTGCTCATTCCTCCAGGCCCCACCCCCTAAGGAGCTGGGTGGGGGCAGAGGCATTGTTCTAAAATGAGGAGGGAAAAAAGGAGGTTTCGGAAGTAAAGGCCGCCTGTGCGCTATCTCAGCGGACTGGAACGCAGCTGTGGGGCGGGGGCCCTGCCCGGCGGCCGCGGCCTCGGCCCTGCAGGCGCGCGGGCCGCCCCCGCGGAGGAGCGGGAGCCGCAGCCCGGGACGTCCCAGGGTCAGGCAGCCCCGCTCCCTCCCAGCCGGACCTTCAGAGTCCGCAGCCTCGATGGCGGAATCCAGAGCCCTGATCGCGGAGGGTGGGGGCCGGCGAAAAGGGCGTAGGTCGGCCCGATACCCCCCGGAAAGTCTGGCAAGAGCAGCAAGAAGTCCCGGGGCTGCAGGCGGGGCCTCGGGGAGCCCTGTGCACGCAGCAGACGCGAGGGCAAGTCCCTCCAAAGCTTCCCATTCAAAACGCGCCCCAAGCCGAAACCGGTGTTTCTATCAGTGGTAGAGCGTCGGTCTGCGGACTGGAAGGTCCAAGGTTCGATTCCGGTCAGGGGCATGCACCTTGGTTGCGGGGGATGCCCGCAACCAAGGTACATGCAAGAGGCAGGTGTGCAAGAGGCAGCTGATCAATGATAGATGTTTCTATTGATAGTTCTCTATCCCCCTCTCTCTTCCTCTCTGTAGAAAATCAATAATTTTTAAAAAAAAAACCGCTCCCCAAACTAGGGAACGCGCTGCCCCCTGGAGCAGGAAACCCCTTAGAAGCCGCGTGCCCACCCCCCACCCGGAGCCCCTGCCACAGGTGCCCGGCTCACCTGCCAGGCGCCCGAACTCCCGCGCCCGCAGCGCCCGCAGCCCGCGCCCGCCCTGCCCGTAGCCGTAGGCGGGGGGCTGCGCGCTCGCCGCCCGGAACCGCTCGAAGGCCAGCAGCTCGGCCCCCGGCCGCGCCGCCCCGTCGGCCATGGCCCCGGCCTGCCCGCCGCGCTGTCCGGGCGGCCGGCCGGGAGAGGGGAGAGCCGCCCGAGGACTCCGCCCGGCGCCCGGCCGCGCCTCCCTCCCGCCTCCGCCCGCACCGGCCGCGGTGGGCGGCGCGTCCGGGACGGACGGGATGGGCCGGGCCCGCCTGGGCCGCGCTGACTCACGAAGTTTCGCTTCTTTCCTGCCTTTCCCACCTGCGGCCGGGGACAGCGTGCCCGTGTCTGTGGCCGCTCAGAGCAGCGTCCCCACGGCGCCCGCGGAGCTGCCCGGACACGGGGGCTAAGCTCTCCTTGTCTGGGTCCCACCGGGAGGCCGGCGGAAGAGGGAGCAGGTTGCATGTTCTGCTCGGCATCCTCGTCGCCCTCCCCGCGGACGCTCCCGGGTCCGAGCTTCACAGTTCCGGGTCCGAGCTCTCTGCAGCGGGATCCAAGATCCGGGGTGCGGGGCAGGGCGTCTGCAGGGACCTCCCCGGGGGCGCTCCCAGGAGAAGCGTGTGCTCGCAGGTCCTGAGAAGTCGGCTGAGTGGGGTGGGGGTAAGACTGGACATGCACGAGGCTGTCTAATGAAGCCCGCACCCGGTAGCCAGGAGGAGACCTGGACCAGAGCGCCCACATCCCGGATGCCCGGAGCAGTGGCCGGTCCCGGGACGCTATTGCGGCCAGTGCTGAGGGCATGCCGGGGTCCCCCTCCCCCCCACCCCCCCAGCTCAGGAGGTGTGGGGCCGGGCTCGGGGCGGTCGGTCAGGTGCCCAAAATAGGGCCCCGGTGTGAAGTAGGGGGCCTGTCGGGGAGTGGAGTGAAGGGGGCCCAGGTCCGGGGCCCCGGTGGGGTGCACGGGCAGCGTGCTGGGTCCTAAGGGATTCAGAAGGGGGCCGGGTCGGGGACCCGATGTGGGGGCCCAGGAGGGGACCTCTGACTCTAGATCACGGCCGAGGGACACGACGGGAAGCGTGCGCTGCAGCCAGGCCAGGGGCCCAGCCTCTCTGCCGTACAAAAGCGCAGAGATGCCCTGGCCGTTGGGTCAGGTGGTTGAGCGTCGCCTCTGGCACAGAAGGGTCACCAGTTCCATTCCCAGTCAAGGCCTATGCTGGGTTGTGGGTTCAGTCCCCGGTTGGGGTACGGATGATGCCCATCCCACCCTTTTCTGATACCTTCTGGTGATACTTCCAGCAAGAACTGTGGGTTCTGATGCCATCTTGGCCCCTATCCGCCGTGCTTCCTCCTGTAAATGACTTCCGGCAACGATAATGAAAACTGTTACACCTGTCCCTGTGTACCGGGAAGGGCACTCCTACCTGTGCTGATGACTCAGCAATTCAATAGGCAGGCGTATGAGAAAGAGTAACTTGCTCAATGGCACATAGAAGAAATGGAGAGTGGGGCAGGGAAGGTCCTCCCAGCAGCGTCACCGTGTGTGTGTGTGTGTGTGTGTGTGTGTGTGTGTGTGGTGGAGGAAGAAGGTGGGGCAGGTTTGGGGCAGGATTTGAAAGGCTTTAAGCCAGGCTAAGGGACTGGAATTTTGTTCTGAAGATTTTTAAGATGGTTTGGCAGACTGTCTAATGGCGATGACCAGGGTGGATGGGGTGGGGAGAAGTGGGCACAGGAAAACCAGCTACAGCTTCTGGCAACTGTCGAGCCTGGAATCGCTGAAAACGGCACAAGCTTTGTCAGGGGCATTCACCTGCATTCCCTGGGTAGCTGCTCCCTGCTAGGGACACCGCAAGTGCTAAGAAGACAGCAGTCCACAACACGCCTCTGGGCCTGAGAAGGACATGAAGGAGGTGGGTCCGCAGTCAGATCACCCCTCCACACTGCAGAGGCAGCGAAGGTGGGGCTGAGGTGAGTCCCACCTGGGGGACGGAGGGCAGCACTCATGTGTAAAGGCCTGGAGGTAGAAAAGGCTCAGAACATTCCAGAAGCAAGAAGTTCAATGCAGCTGAAGCACAGACTGTGGTTGTGTGGGGGGTGAGGGGTGAGGACGAGCAGCGAGTCAGACTGCAGTGCAGGAGGACACCGGGAGTCCTTCAGATCAGCAGCTGCGACAGTCTCGTCTGACCCCCTGGCAGCAGGAGCAGGAGTGGGGTGAGGGAGGATGCAGGCGGCACTGTCCTGCAGAGACTGGGCAGGAGCTTTGGTGAGGAGGCCCAGAGGGTGCAGAAGTGATGGAACTCGGAGACAAAAGGGGATGAAGGAAGACTGGCTCAGGGTGACGGGTGGATGCAGGGAGCAGGCATCTAGACAACGTGAAGCTCAGTCTAGGTCTAGGATGTCTAAGTGAAGATTCAGGCCCAGAGTTCAGGAAGGGCAGTGTTCAGGGTTGGAGACACAATTTATGGGACGGGTCATCCCAGGAGCTGGGGAGTGTTCAGGGAGAGGGCAGAGCCTGGGGATAGTAACTTTTCAGGGGTCCTGGCCTCCAGCCCCTGGTTGGTGAGAAGGTACGAGGTGGGAGGAGCCGCAGGAAAGTGCCTTGGCAGCAGCTAAGGCTGAAGATAGGTGGCATGAATAAGGGTGGGGAAGGCAGTCCATTGTCATTGCCAAGTCTCTCCAGGGGAGGAACGGTAGAGGTTTTCCCACTGGCTTACACCTCCAGGCCTCGTGACCATGGAGGTAGCTGGGGCCGCAATTATGATGGATCAAGTTTCCTGCCAAGTAATTGGGACGGGGGTGGGGTGAGGGGTCAGAGGCTGGATTTGGCTTGGGTAATGAAATTAATCTAGTACTTCCTGCTAGAGCGAAATGCATCCCTCCCGCTCAGTGAGAAACGGCTGGCTGCGTATCTGGGTACCTGAGGAATCAGAAGCAGGCTGCACAGCTGGGATCAGTGAGAGGAAGCCACAGAGCAGGCTTCTCCTCAAAGCCTGCAGAGTCAGAGCTCTGGTGCAAGGACTGGAGAGCAGCGGAGAGGAAAATCGGCAGCCCAGGAAACTCCTCCCCAAGGGACAGGCCTTTCCTGTGGATGGAAGCTAAAAGGGCAGCTAGTTGTTGGGAACAAGGCTCCATTCTATCTAAGCCCATCCTGTTCAAAACAACAAAGCCCCACCCTTAGGAGGCAGACCGCAGAGAGGACGGCAGCCCAGCCCCGGGCAGGGATCTTCCTGAGGCGGTTTTTCTGGGGATCGGCTCCTCCCCAAGTTCATTCAGGGGAAGGCCATCCCCTTCCTGGTCCCTTTTGTGTGGTCTCCTTCCTCCTGCTCTTTACCCTCTAGCTCTTCATGCCACCAAGAGAGGGAAAGAATCTGATAAAATGCTCTTTACTGACTGGTGGCTTACACTGGACGATGCTTCCTCCGCCAGCCAGCCAGCCAGCCATGCTGTCAAACTTACCTTGAATTCACCAAATATTTGACAACGCTGGATGCTGTGGAGAACAAGAAAACAAATCTGATGCCCCGGGGCTTAGGCTTGAGTGGGCTTGGATAGTGGGCTGTCGTGGGGTGCCTGCCCGGTTTCGCTTTGGAAAAACACCCAAGGCAGAGATGCCATGTGGTTCTAATGGAGCCCACCCCGCCTCCAGCTCCACAAGTGATCTCAGGACTCTGGGTCCATCAGATGGGCCCTCAATGTGTAGCTTTCTCCTGCCCACTATGTTTGGTTCAGGATGTTCAGGTCCAAGTAACGCGAGCGACTTTCATATTTAAGGGATTATCAGTAGGCTCTTTGATATGAGCAAGGAAATCTGCCACTTCAGGGGCTGCTTTTCATCCATGAAGGAGGGCAGCCCATCCGCTGACAGAGAGTTACTGAGGAAGATGCTTCAGGACAACTTGGGAAAACTCTCTATAAGCTCAACTAGCAAAACAATAACCAGCCATGGATTCAGTTCTCCAAGACGAGGCCTGCTCTCAGGGGAATTTCAGGGATTGGATTCTATGCTGGAAAGGGCTCTGAAGGACTGAATCTGCTCTGGAACCCAGCATGCATGGGATCTAACATCCCCGAGTGCCAGTGGGGTAGGAGGCTCAGGTCCTGCAGCTGGGAAGCAGGGAAACAGCAGTTCAGGGAGTGCTGCCTTCCGAGGTTGGGAAGCTCAGATGCTCACTGCCTTGGTGCGTGCACACACACACACACACACACAAACAAATACAGACCCAATTGTCTAGAACTGCAATATGGGTGCCCACTAGCCACATGTGGCCACTGAGCGTTTGAAATGTGGCTAGTCGGATTTGGGCTCTAAGTGTAAGATGCACTTTATTTGTACAAAATATAATCAATGGGGGGGGGCAATGTTAAAATATGTACACAGATAATTTAATTAAAAAATGTAAAAAATATATATATAATCAATAATCTTTTCTATTGATATGGTGAAATAATACTATTTTGGATACATTGGGCTAAATGAGTCATTAATATAAATTTGACCTGCCCTAGCCAGTTTGGCTCAATGGACAGTGTCGGCCAGAGGTCTGAATGATCGAAGGTTCAATTCAAGTCAAGGGCATGTACCTCAGGTGCAGGCTAGATCCCTGGCTCCAGGCGGGGTGTGTACAGGCAGCACCCAATAGATGTCTCTCTCTCACACCGATGTTTTTCTGATGTTTTTATCTGTGTCTCCCTCCCTCCCTTCTACTCTCTCTCAAAATCAATGGAAAAATACTTTAATACTAGAGGCCTGGTGTGGTGGGGTCCCTCAGCCTGGCCTGCCTCCTCGCAATCCCGGACCCCTGGGGGGAAGTCTGACAGCCTACAAAGATCATCAGAAATCCATAGTCCGCCATCCCGCCTAGGGGTGTAGTAGTGCACTAAGCGGCAGGTGGCTGGGGGAAAGCCTGTGCTACTCCACTCATCCTGGCCCCACTGCGCCTGCCTCCACCGCCTTCACCGCCACCACCACCACCCAGCAGTGCTCCCGCGGTGGGAGCGCACTGACCACCAGGGGGCAGCTCCTGCATTGAATGTCTGCCCCTGGTGCTCAGTGTGCATCACAGCAACCCATCAACAGGTCATTCGGTCCCTTTGGCTTTTATATAGAGATTGAAAATTAAAATATTTTAACACTCCCTTCAAAATATCCAATGGAGTAAAATATTCTTGATTCCATGTTCCAAGAGTATCAGGGCAAACCTCCATTCTCGCCTGAGTCTTCCTACTACCTCTCTTTTTTATAAACCCTCATCCGATGATATTTTTCCCATTAATTTTTAGACAAAGTGGAAGGAAGGGGAAGGGAGATGGGGGGGGGAGAGGGAGGGAGGGAGGGAGGGAGAGAGAGAGAGAGAGAGAGAGCGAGCGAGAGAGAGAGAGAAACATCTACGTGAAATAGATACATTGACTGGTCACCTCCTGCCCCGTATGCGCCCTTACAGGGGCTGAGGAACCTGCAACCAAGGTATGTGCCCTTGACTGGGAATCAAACCCGAGACCCTTCGTGCGCAGGCAAGGCTTTAACCACTGAGTCACACTGGCCAGG